TTAAAATAATGTTTCTTAAGATGTAAGTTTGTGTTTATAATGGTATTTGTAAAATAAAACACTATATTTTATTCATAATGTTGAACTCCTCTTTGAGCACATCCCTTGAAGAATCATAGGTATTAGCAACACCTGTGAAATTGTATTTGCAGGAAAGAAGTGTGTCCCGTTTATTGAAGTATTTTGTGTTTAGAGTTTTCGACATCTTGTCCATGCGTATAGTTACGCTCGAGCGTATGATCATAGCTGCTAGCCAAAACTCTGGAGTTAAAAGTTTTCTGGCTTTATTAAAATACCTGTCTGTACTTATTTGATTGATGGTAGTTTTACTTTCTATTAGACTCCAAATGTAATCATTTGGCACATTTCTAATTCATAATTTGTAACAATGTAATCGGCGATATTAGCATTAGCATTCCTATGGGTTTTTCCCTATGGGTTAGCAGTGCGCTAACCACTCGCTGCCAAATTGCAGCCTTTGCGATTAGAAAATCTCCTTTTGTCACATCGCAATTTAATTGCACATGCCGTTAATCGTTCAGCCCTAATATACATGCTAAAAGTGTATTTTCAAAGAGGTAATGATGGATTTCTTTGTAAAAGTTGTCCATCTTTCCAACAGAAAGATTGCCTGGACCAACGTAACGTGATTGCGTAATTCCGTAAGGTTCATGTTCAGCCAATCAACTACTTAGACGTCATCAGCAGTCGACGGACCCCGAGCCAATTTTGCACCTGAGCAGATCTTGTACCGACACCGTCACTAGTTTTTCGCATCATTCTCTGGGTGTACTTTCATTGGTTGATTGCAGATGGGAGTCGTAAGTTTTCAAGCAGTGACTGAAGACAGTTGGTGGCCGACTTCGGTTGTGAGAGTGCTCAATGAGCTGTCAAAGAGCCGATCACACTGGACGGCGACAGACTCGCAAACCACCTAACATGGTCAGCATTTTTGTCATGACTCTGTTCACAACAAGAGATTTGTCTACGTGGGCTGAAAAACGTAGTAGTGTCTGCGCTTTCACTGTCACTGTCTCAGTCAGAATATCTACCAATGCAGCTAATTAAAACTACTGCCCCTGATGCATCAGGATGATTTTTCTATTTGCTGACTTATTTAGAGACCTTCCAATTGCTGACAAATGATGTGAATTTTTGAATGAGATTGATGGAGACAGGTCGCAGCAAACCAGTACAATCCTAGAATGAAGGTCTGCTGGTGGTAAGGCGACAATTTAGAAATTCACCCAAAATCTACATTAGTACATCTGAGCCATGTGTATTGTGTTTTCAGCATGCCTACTGGCCGGTCTAATAGGTCCCATAGGTCATGGGGAATGTATCCATGTCTTTACCCGGGATGTAGAAAGCCTCGGTTTGGACACACGACCCACTGATGTGAGCCAGTGTGTGTGTCTAAAAGGTTTGATGAGTAACTTCTCATTAAATCAAGTACCGTCAAGGACCCGTGTCATTAAGACTGCCTCTCACTCTCTCTGTTCTTGATTACTAAAGCGGCGCCTACTGCGAGGGGTCAATTCACAGCTGCAGCTCATCAGCCATCTCCTCCATAAATACCTGGTGGCTGCACTTACCGTCAAATCATCAAACGGCTAAGCACACTTAGATCGAGAAGCTTTTGCTGGTATTGGAATGTGCTTTTTTATATTGGACCACTTGGAATCATAGATATGGGATTGGGTTTGAAATCACGCTAAAAATCCACAAACCAGGAAACCCCAAAGCTCCCAAACTTGTTTTATTTGTCTATATTTTGCAATAAATCTTCCAGAAATCTTTCTAATTCCTGTGTCTGCTCTTAGATGCAAGTTTTATGCAAACGTCCACAAAGACATCATTTAGCTGGTGACATTGAAATTACGGGGTGTGGATCTTCACCCACTTGATCACCAGAACATCCCAGCCTTTAAGCAATGAACCAATTAAAAGCAGATTTGAACTTGTTTACTGTCTGAAACAGATATGTTCTTTAGCATCTGTTGAAAAACGTTGATCCTGTTTTGTTATTAGTTTATTGGAGGTGTGAATATGAATTAACCTCTGGCCAAAGAGTATTGACACATTCAGATGACACCAGCTATATTTAGATTTAGTTGAGTTATCTGCTAAATATTCTGACTGCATAAGATTGCACGGTATGGGGCGAGTTTGCACCTTCATTCTTGTGATTTATAATTTAACATCATTTTATTACTGATAAATTCTCTGCTTTAACTGTGTAATCTGTTCTAAAAATCATGAAAAATTTTCATTATATTATTATGTTTTGTGAGTTTATATATTCAAAAACAACAAACTTCCATTTCTGACCTCAGGGCGGTGGATGTAAAGTCTAACTGGAATTTCCCACCAGCAGAGCAGAAGTGACGTTAAGCTGTCATCCTTCCCTGGACTCTGGTCCCTTGAGCAAGACAGAGATTTACTCAAGAGGAGCAGAGCAGCTCAGCAGGAGGAAGATGATGCTGTTGTGGTGTTAAGTTTCCTTTATGGTTCCTCTCACTGGTTCACTGAACGTCCTTCAGTTCGGTTACAAAGAAAACTGACTTGGATTTGATCTTAAAAGGCTTCTGACACCAAAATAAAAGCCTCATGAAACTTTGACTCCTGAAATTTTGAATTCTAATTCTAATTTATCCCTCATAACTCATGTTTAAATGAACTTGCAGACTAATAAGATATTTCAAAATATTTAATGAGAACAAAATGTTCTCCAGAAAAGAGTGCTTCATGCTTTGTTCTGATCATTTGGTGTTTATGTAAATTATCTGGATTTTTTAATGAAAATTTAACAGATCAATAAACCAGAATAATAGTTTGAAGAATAATGTTAGCACAAATATAATGATTACCGTGAGTGTAAGATGTTGCACGAAGTTGAAATCCGGATCAAAAAACAACACATGCATTCAGATCTGTAATTGACTGAGCGGAGCCGAGCGCTGCAGGGTGAGGAGGAGAGACTCATGTGGTCTAACGAGGGTCTAAATATAGGACGCTGCAGCATGATTTCTTCTGGCTGAGCAAGGATTCACTCATCCTCAGCTGGAAAGGAAAGGAAAGGAAAGGAAAGGAAAGGAAAGGAAAGGAAAGTGTGTTCAGTGTGCCACTGAATGTCTGTGAGCGTGTGTGAGTGACTGAGAACAAGATGTAAGCTCATTCACATCCATCAGAACCCAGAGGCAGATCAGAGGCCCAGTAATCTCCGAGGATCTGCCCGTAAAAGCTGCCTGTGATGCAATCTATCCATCATCTCACTCCGCTGTGAGTTGTAGTAAAAGGTCTGTCAGGATAAAGTCCCACGTAATCCCCACCACATTTCATTCAATGTTTGGCAGCAGAAGACTACAAACATTTATTTCTATTTATAGTGTTGCACATGGTGTATTTTAGAGGATCGTGGGGAAAGATCCTTGATGCAGGTTCGATGTTGTCCAAATCCTGCAGGAGTCCAGAGAAAAAATCTGTGGTGTCGAGAAAAAAATGAGGAAAATTAGAGTTAGTAACAGCCAGGACTTTGTGAGGCTGTGCAATCATGTCATAACCCGAACATCAACATACCAGGTAATAAACCGGCTTTATTGTGGTTCTTAGCATACCGAGCTGCTCCGAAAACGTGACGTCAGAGACTGTAGGCCATGGATTGGCTAAGGAATGTGTGGCGTACAGATCACCTCACCTGTGTTGCCTTTTTTTTTTAGCCCTGCAACATTTCTTGTTGGGTAAAGATCATGGGTGCCACGGGTGATGACTCTTTTATTTGTATTATACCTAGAAGGATTTGCAAATCATTTTTTACAATTAAGACAAAACAAAAAAATAAAACACTCGGTTCATTTCATTCAGATATTAATTTCTGTTGAGCTCTGCTGGAGGTTTCTTCCTGTTAAAAGGGAATTTTTCTCTCCACTATCACCTTCATACTGTGTTTGCTCAGAATGAGGGATTGCATTCAATGCAATCTGCTGGTTTCTTTAAATGCACTTTGGAGTCCTCTGACTCAGAATGTGCCATACAAGTGCAGTATCAGTATCATTATCATGTATAGTGCAAGTTTGACTGATTGGAATATAATATTGAACTAAATTTTATTACTAAATTTAATTTACAGTAATTAGTTAGCCTAAATCTGGACCATTTACATTTGACGCTTTGTATAGATATTTATGTAGTGAACTGGTGTTATACTGTTAAAGGTATTAGTCAAATATAATCATACATTGTTTTATTTTTTACAATGTTTTGATAATAACCTTTTTCCAAAATAGTGAATATTAAAAAGAAAACAATTATAATGAAACATACTTCTTTTTTTTTATTTAAAATTCAGGTTTTTTGTGCCTCGTGAGCATTTTGAAACTAGATGATTTGCATGAGTCTCTGAAATTCTGGATGCCCCTGGTGTAAAAGAAAAATACAACAAAGGTAATTTATGAGAACTCATGCCTGAGTCACCTGAAGGCAGAACTTTAGAAATTTGGAACTTTATTTGATTGGATAAAACATAAATCAAATTGAGCATGGCAAACTAAAGGCAAAAAGGACGAACGATGATTATAAAAATGAATCATATTATTGTTAGTCATTTAAAATCATGTTTTTTCTGTCAATATGATTAAAAACAGCAAAACAGAACATGGTGGATATCAGTTTGGCATAAAACAGGAAGAAACTCATGGACAAAAATGGGAAAAGTCACTGAAATATCCAGGTTTTCAAACAAGTTAGACAAACAATAATTGATTAAATTGTTGACAGCTTTTTCGCATTTCAAAAATGTAATTGTTTAAAATCACTATGAATTTATTGTAGTGAAAATTGTCTAAGAATTTGGTTCGATTAATAAAATAAAAATTCATGACGTAAAAAACTAACTCAGCTCAGTGAATGAAAAGGTTTTTTGTGGTTGACAGTGACACCATGTGTACCTGTTGGTGCATGTTGTTCCAAATTCCACCACCAGTTGGCGGTGTGGTAAAATAAAGGGCTTCGATCCCTCACACAGCTCCCCTCTTCACTGAAACCGGAAACCGGTTCTGATTTTCTTTCTTTTCCGGTTGACGTCTGTTCGTGTGGCAGGTATATTATTCCCGATATCGTTTGAAACATTACAATCTTTGTCCATCTTTGTCTGTTTTCAGTTTATATTAAGAAACACGAAGATGTTATGATTAGTTGTCTTATTAATTGCAGATATATGGCAATATGGTTGAACTGCGACCCACATGATAGGACAGTTTAGGCTTAATAAACATGCTAACGTCTTATCCGCTCACTAGCTATTTCTATGTACTAGTAATATTAAGACAACTATACGTAGTGATTTATTTTAGTTTGAATTGGCATAAGTTGACACTGTTGTCTGGTCATGACGTTGTGTTTATAGAAGAAATTAGGTTTTTACTCTGAACGATGCTTTTAAAGCTAACGCTTGATAGCATCTTAGTATAGCTAGTTAGCGATGTTGGTTGTTAATTTCTGACCTTTTGTTTATTGTTTTACCAGATTTGTAAGCGTCGAAATGGCAAAGTCTAAGAACCACACAACTCACAACCAGTGTAAGTGATATTTGAGTTTCTGCAGAAAAGGGGCAGTGTGAAATGACAGCTGCAGTAGTTTAATGTTGTTTATTATTTTCAGCTCGTAAATGGCACAGGAATGGCATCAAGAAGCCCAGATCTCAGCGTTATGAGTCCTTGAAAGGGGTGCGTTCATTTACTTCTTGGTCTAAACAACCACTTGTTTGAACATTTTCTCCTGTTTCTGTTTTTGATTTTATGCAGCTTGCCCTGCAAATGATAGCCTGTAATGATAATAGACTATAAAGTCAGTGCTTCCTTTTTTAAAAGTGATACAAAATTGTCAGGTGTAGCGGTCACACTTTATAGCGTGTCAACTTGAGGTTGATGTGTGCGTCTGAGTCCTCCAGCTGGCATAACCTTCACTTTGCAGCTCTGGAGCATGCATGAAAGGTTACTGTGTCAATTTGATGGTGAAAAATGACCTTTTTTATTCATTACACAGGCAAAGTAAAAGAATAGAATAGATGTGATTTCACTGAAATATTAATGGGTTTTTGCAGACTACACAGGGTGTTGGATGAAAACTAAGTGGGCTCTGATACTACTCTTAGGAACCAGATTAATTGAAGCATGTATGAAATAACATTTTGTAGATTTAACTAAACATTCAATGCACTCTGTCCTGTTGTCTATAGTAGGAACATTACTTTGTGAGCTACATGTATTTTAGGTTGCAATAATGTTTCAGAGGCTAGTCTGCCACTTACCTATCCGGATTATTTTCAGGGGATTAAATGTGGGTGGGTGTAATACAGCATGCTGATATAGTATATTTGTATAGTATATTTGTTCAGCTATAAAATTGATCATTTTTTAAAGATTGGATTGTTTTTGCTTGGCAGTATTTGCTGTGTGCATCAGCTTCTCTTTGGATGCAGCCCAATATTTGTTGTCATAGGTTTATTTATGTCCAAAAAGTGTGCCAGTAAACGAGCACAATAAAACATCCTTTCCATCTGGAGCAATGAACTGTACACATTCAGGTACAAACTCAGGAGACCTTTGAGTCTGCTGCAGAAGGCTTCTTAAATATTAATCTGTAAATCAGATGGAAATGCAAATGAAGTTCCTTGATTTTACTAAGAAATTAAGTTTGGTGAGGAAAAATATGAAGACTGGGCTTAAAAGTGCTTTGTTAAAATAAGCAAAAGCATCAAAATCTCACTTAAGAGAGAACCAGATTGTGCATGTTTTAGGTAGGGCTGGGGGTAAACGATTATTTTTAAAACGATTATTCTGACGATTATTTTATCGAATAGTCGACTATTCTAATGACTATTTAGAAAATTAATCTAATGATTATTTTTCTATTGCACAATTAACAAAAACCAGAAAATCTCAAATAAATTCCTCAAAAAAAAAGATAAATTGTTACTGTAAGAGAATAAACACTACAGGCCTTCCATTTTGTATAACACTGCTTTTATTGTGTTGGTTGGTTATGTTCTGGTGAGGTGTAGAACTTGGGAGTGCAGGCTGCTGCCTGAGAGGTGGTAGAAGACGGAGTGTCTCCATGCTGCTTTGTTTTGGTCACTTATGTGTGTGAGGCGAGTGGTCTTACGGGTTAAACCAAACTCAGGTGATATTTTACACTAAACCGAAAACCCACAACACTCTAAATGTAATAAAAGGGAGATCTACACCACAAAAAAGATGAACTCTAAACCAAAACTTAACAGCTTATCCCAACGCAAGAAGCTGTTAGCGAAGATGCTAACAGTAGCTTTACCAACGTTAAATTCAAGTTACCAAGTTTAAATAAACCAAAAACACCCAGCAGCAAACAGACCAGTACGGAGGAGAGACTGCTACCACCAAAACAGCTCTCCTCATGTCTGAAAGAAGCTCCTTAATGAAGGGAGAAGCGCTCCCGGTGATTTTCTACATCTGCGATAGACACGAAGCAGCGCATCTGACCCCGGAAGTTGTTGTCCGTTGCCGGGAGACGAAGGGGCAAAACAGGAAAATAATCTAGTAGTGGACGGACGTTGTTCCGGGTCTTCGGTATTTGGCGGAGATGTTAGTGAAGGCGGAGAAGAGGGCGAACTAGAGGAAAAACAGGCAGATTCCTCCTCTATTTACAAACTCCTGGGGATGCAACAAGTGGGCGCGGTGCGTCGACTTCCGGATCTGACGTCGACAAATTTTTAGAATCGAGCCGTCGACTTCGTCGAGGCTTCGCTACAGCCCTAGTTTTAGGTCATTTAGGGGTGTTTGCGTGTGAGATTTTCCATTAAGTTGCACCATCTGTAGATACTTTGTGTCCTAAGTAGAAATCCTAACATCTGACCTTAAGTGGCTTGTGAGCCTTTGTCTAGTGTTATCCCTGCTGAAGCTCGCCTGTTATTATTAAATGAAATGACATAAACAACAGATTTATTAAATGTGTCTTCTTTAGCAAATAAAAGGTTTCACTTTAACTGATACCTGTTTCTGTGTTGCAGGTGGACCCAAAGTTCCTGAGGAATATGCGCTTTGCTAAGAAACACAACAAGAAGGGCCTGAAGGCAGCACAGAAATCAGCTGCTGCTAAATAAGCTGTTGGTCACCATCATGTCTGCTTTTTCCATATTGTCTTTGTCATCATCATGACAATAAAACAATGTTTTGGTAACACCAACACCAGCCTTGATTTTGTTTAAAAGGTTACTTATCTTCCAGATTACATGAACAAAGTCTACTTCTAAGATAACAATGTGACTTGGTGTTACTGCAAAATAATTTAAAACATTTAGTGAGAATGTTTAAAAGTTAAAATCAAAGCCTACAATTAATATATTGGTTTTGTTAAGCTTTTCCATCTCGTGGGCTGATTGTTTTTATCTGGTGAATGTAAAAAAAGGACATTTCAGCCAAAATCAAAGTTAAAAGAATGACATGGCAACAAAAAAAAAGCAGACAAGCCTGTTGTGTGAGACTGCACTTGCCTTTGCCATTTTATACAGAATGCCGTGTGTGTATATATGTATATGTATGTATATATATATATATATATACAGGAGGATGGGTTCATCATCCTTATGCGATATGCTAGATTTATTTATAAATGTATTATTTTTTACAGTTTACAAGCATTTATTTTTAAACAATTTTTAACCCAAAATGGTTGTTTGAATCAGGCTGTAAATATGTGTATTTTGCTTTCAGTTTGGTCAATGAGGATTTATGCTCTCTGGTGCCAGCACCTAGCGGATGAGAATTGAATAGCAATTTTTGGCATTTCCGTGTTAGCTTTATGAATTTATGAGGGCATGGTCAAAATTATTTGATTATTTTTTAATAGAAATAGCTTGTTAAATACCCAGCTTGCCTTTCAATTAACTGGCAACAGCTTGGGGTTCAGCATCTTACAGGGATGCTCGGATGAGCTATATTTGAAGGAAAAAAACAATGGGAGGTGTATTTCCTTTACAAGCTATTTTAATATATAAAAAGTAATATCAAATATTTATTTTGACCAAAATAAATAAACATATATGCCAATTAGTTAAAAAGATTGTGCATGAATGAGGATTGACCCACCTCCCTCCCCCATCATCCTTGGGACTGGCTATAGCTTGCCTACAATTTCTTTGTTGAAAGTTATGATAAACGCATACAAACATATTCTAAAAGCGGAAAGAGCCTCGTAGTCAAGTTAATGTTTTTCCTTTATCCAAACTGGATCAAATGCTTCCTCTTGGGAAGATATATGTATAAAACATTAAAAAAAATATTTAGGGCATTTTTTTCAATGGGATGTTGAAATTTGTGGAAAATTACTTAAAAATATCTATAAATTGGTCCAAAAATATTTGTCTTTTTGGTGTCATTCTTATGTGGAGGTGGAAACAAAAGTTGATTCCAATATCTCGCTGTCCCCTATACACACACACAAAGAGAGAGAAATAAAAAATAACATAAAGAAAACCTCATGACAGACCCCACTGATACATCATCATGAACTATGTCTTCTTTAGTTTGTCACTATATTTTAGTTTGTTACTGACCATGTTTCAGACAAGTTTAGTAGGACTACTTAGATAATATTTGTTTTTCCACGTTTTTAGTATAATTCTAAATATAAAACCCCTGCTTATCTCATCTGTAATTTACGGTTTAGTTATATTTTTTACGTTCTTTTTCTTTTAGAAATTTGGTTTTCTATGGTTCTCTCGTAGTGATCATTTTCCCGTTTTACTAATTCTACTACAGCACGGATTTTATTTTGAAGCTGCAAAGTTGTGTCGTCACTTCCGCTCATTGACTCTAGCTTGCATCATTTCTCGTGTCTTCTCATCCGGCAGCCGAACATGTGAGTATCTGCGGTAAACTGAGCACAAACTTGGGATCGTATTTGCATTTAAAGCGGTGTCTTGTATCATATGCGAAGCATGTAAAGTCGCATTTAACCAACTCTACGGTCTGTTTTAACTTCCAGGCTAACTCATTGAAACCTAAACTTGCTAACTTAGCTCGCTAGCTAACAACAATGAGGTGTCATTAGTGAGGAGTCACTTTGGGATAGTGGTTTATTAAAATTGATGTTGACAACGTTTTTGTACTTATGTGCAGAGCGTAAAATATCGGCCTTATAACCTAAAGAGAAACATCAATCGCAGAATCAGTGTGTTAATAAACTAGATGTAGCTTGGTGTGACAGATCTTACTGGATCTATGGAGATAAGTTAAACATTCTTACTAGTAAATCTCAGATAAAAGGTTATTTAAGGAAAAATACAACCACACACACGGTAGACTACTTAGATTGAATTCATAACATGCGTTATCTAACAAGCAAACATGGTTAATAAGTGATTTTTGTAACTCATGACATATTAACTTCTTGTTTCTGGACAGACGTCATGGTAGAGTCAGTCCCTGAGTCCATCACCTTTCCCTCTGAGGAGGAGAAGATCTTGCAGTTTTGGCAGGAAGAAGACTGCTTTAACGAGTGCCTCAAACAGTCTAAGAACAGGCCCAGGTAACTGATCTTTGTGTTTTGTTTGAAATAAATTAAACTCTCTTAAAATCTTTGAATGCTTACAAATGAGGTAAAAAAATCCTTCTTATGGCAGAACAGTTCTGTATTTGACTTGTAATTTGAGAAGGAATTTCAATTAATCACAATGAAAGATAAGGTAAATTAGGCCTAACGGAAAATCAAAGAGGAAAACTTTCTAGTGTGTTGTTCTGCTTCTTTTTTAAACACCGTTGAGTAGGGGTGTAATGGTGCTATAATCGGATTCAGTTCAGTGTTTTGAAGGGCTCAGTTAGATAAATTTTCGGTATTTGTATTTATTTTCTAAAGTGGCTCCTATAATGAGCAGAACCAGGTGTCATCACAGGCTGCTGATCTAGCGTGATGTCTTTAATTATTTCACACAGGTTACTTGCACAGCAATGAGTGTCACGCTCATATAGACACGTGTTGTTTGACTGTTGATGCCTCACTGCAGCAAGCCTTAAAAACTCACCTCACACTGCCCATATTTTCGTCTTTAAAACTTGTATTAAATAACGAGCTTCCTTTGCATCATATTTTTTGTTGTAGAATGAAAACTTTACATCATTTGTTACAGGGAAAATGTTCAGCAGATGTGTTTGTTTACATAGTTGCTTCTGGGTGCCTGCACAGTGTGAGAGAAGAGAGGGAGGGAGGGGTGATGCAACACTCCATTCAGGGTCTCTACAGGCACCACAGTAGCAGCGACAGCCAGCTGGTTTGAGCCGCTCTGAAAGGCATTGATCAGAATTTGCAGATCACACTTTTTAAACGGAGATCAGGCGCGTGCAGCCATCATGCATAACTCAATACAGCGTCCGTGCGGAAATTTGTCTAGGAACTTTTATACGCTGCAATGAAATAGTGCAAATAAAAATTCATTATTTAATGGAAAAAATAAACCAAACTGGTACGCAAGTGGACCGAACCAAACAGGCCGAACCAAAGCGGTTCAACACTTCCTTTGTGAACTGTTACACCCTTACCGTTGAGGGATTGTCACTTTGGATCCAACCATGACCCTTAAAACTGTTCATTTAGGTCAAGTTACAAGCAAATTGTTTTTCTAGAGATGAAAGTTGAAATTGAACTCTTCTCTTGGTTACGTCTTAAGTGATGGATCAGTTTGAATTTAGGGCAGTCAAATGTTGTACATTGATGTCTCCAAAACAGTGGAACAGAAAGAGAAACTATTCTTGCTGCTTGTAACGTGACTTGAGTGATTTTTTTTAAAGATTCTTTGGTGGCATTCCATTTAAGGTTTGTTGAAAAGAAGATGTTAGAAAGCTATTTTAATGTCTGTCTCATGACTGACTGCATGGATGTTAAATGAACTTTTTTCTGCCGTTTTCTCTGAATGTCTTTCAAACCTTTCAGACATCAAGAGTTGCTCATGTACATATAATGCTATTTGTAGAATCAACATTTTATGGTCAACAAGAGAACATTTGGTTTGTTGCACACTATAAACAAAATAACCCAATCTGGACTGTTTTGTAACTCATCCAACCCAGCTCGAGTTATTTTGACCCAGCAAGATGGGTTGGTCCATCCATTTAACCCAACTCCTGAGTTAAAATATACTGCCCGAATGCTGGGTCATACTAATGAAAATCCGGGATTGTTATGCATCTTCAAATTATTAAATACACCAAATTCATTACAACCCATAAAGTCCCAATAGTCATCACCACACATTGGTGAAGTTACATCTCCACATTTGACCCATCCGCGTGGGGAGAGGTGAGCTGCAGACATGGCCGGGCTCAGTAACTGTTCGGTGGTTTAACCTCCCAATCCAACCCCTAAGCGTAAAACAGGGAGGCATTGGATCCCATTGTTTTAAAAGTCTTTGGTATGACTTGACTGGGATTTGTACAATAATAGTATTCAGTGGCAGTAGCTCAGGAGGTAGGCGGGTTGTTCAGCAATCAGAGGGTTGTAGGGTCAATCCCAGCTCCTGGCGGAAAATGCTGCTGTTGTGTCCTTGGGCAAGACAATTAACCAACCTTCTCTGCTGGTGGTGATCAGAGGGGTTGGTGGCACCAAGGCTCAGCAGCCTCACCTCTGCCAGTACACCCCAGGGCAGCTGTGGCTACATCAGTGTTTCCCCTACATAGGCTCAGGCGTGGCACTGCATCCGCACTCTCACGGACAATGCACGGCAGCAACGTTTAATGGGGAAACACTGTACATTGTAGCTCATCATCACTAGTGTGATTGTGTGAATAACTGATTGTGTTGTGATGCACCTTGGGGGGGGGCTTATAGATTTCTAGAAGTCTCTATACCAGCAGTACTCAATATGGGGGCAGAGTCCGGCCCACGAGCCTCCTTTTTGTGACCCCCTTCCCCGGACCACACTTTGAACTTCAGTCAGACCTTTCACTCAGTTACAGCAGGAACACTACATAACTGTCCTGTCACTGGTTCAGTCATCTCTCTGAAGAGTCATCTGAACAGTCATGGCTCTGTATTCCTACCCAACCAAACTGTTTTATAGTTCAGATGCATCTTTTCTGCCATTTCCTTACCAGGTACACCTTCTACGATGGCCCCCCCTTTGCCACGGGGTTACCCCATTATGGGCACATCCTAGCTGGTACCATCAAGGACATCGTTACCCGCTTTGCCCATCAGAGTGGCTTCCACGTGGACCGGCGCTTTGGCTGGGATTGCCATGGCCTGCCTGTGGTTAGATGAACTCTTAGCTCTTTTTTTTTAAAGTACTTTTGATCTTCTCACATGATTATGTGAGAACATAGACATGTTTATTCCTTTCTGTAGGAGTATGAGATCGATAAGACTTTGGGGATCAAAGGGCCTGAAGATGTGGCCAAGATGGGCATCGCCGAGTACAACAAGCAGTGTCGGAACATTGTCATGAGATATTCTCATGAATGGGAGGTAAGCAGGAGAATCAAAATACTTCTGAGTCTAGTTGGTATCTTTTGAATAGCTTCACAAACTTCTGTGAAATAATTGTTTTTATTTTATTTATGCAGATCTCTGTGAATAGAATGGGCAGGTGGATTGACTTCAAGCATGACTACAAGACTCTTTATCCGTGGTTCATGGAAAGTGTCTGGTATGAACTTCTGCTTATAGTATTGATAGGTATGAGGGTGAAGGAATAGCCGATGCTCTGCTAGCTAACAGCTCGTTGTTATGGTGTCTGAATTCCCCACCTGTAGATGGTGTGACGTTACATCGTCCATTCAACAATGAATGTCGATGTAGGGGAACGTCTTAAAACTAAGCTGTTGTTATTCAGTTGGAAATATCTCAGGATCAATTTAAAAGGTCATACTTTTTGTTATATAAGGTTGTATCCAGTCTTTTCCAACCCATTCCATTCATTTCAAAATCACGTGATCAGGCACGATTCCCAGTCACGATTGGATCTATGCATCCCTATTTTGTAGAGTCAGTGAAGAGTTGTATCCCATCATTAGCTCTTAGACTAAATCTCATGGCTTCTTTTCTAAGGTTCTGCAGAACATTTCACTGTTTCTGTTTTCAGGAACGCTCGTTCCTGCTGAACCCAGTAATTCCTCTTTCTGTCCTGTTGTGCACTTCAAAATGAGTTGTTGAACCTGATGGTCAAACTTTATCTGTACTTGCCTTTCCTTCATGGTCCACTACCCCCCTTCCTTTTCTGTTTTTGTTCTTTCAGCACTTTCCAAAATGACTATGAATGAGAAGGACTTTCAGTCGGGCATATTTAAAAGCACACACTACCCTATAAGTCCTGTATGCTTAGTTTGTTTTTATGTTAAATTGTGTTTATGTTTCTTCCCTTTATTCAGGTGGGTGTTTAAGCAGCTGTACGACACAGGTTTTGTGTATCGTGGTGTTAAAGTTATGCCTTACTCTACCGCCTGCAACACCCCGCTCTCCAACTTTGAGGCCAATCAGAACTACAAGGTGGGTACAGATGTCTTCAGAGTCTGACGTTCTGCTTTTAGTTAGGAGTGAAGGTAGGGCTGGGCGATATGGCCCAAAATCAATTTCATAATATATTGAAGATTTCACCTGGATAATAAGTGGACAATAACTGCAGAACAAAGGTTGTCCTCTAGATGGGGCTGTCACATGTATTATGTTGAGTCTTAACATGGCTTGAGTTGGTGCAGCTTTTTAAAGGGATATGAATGTTGCCAACTTACACACAACTTTTCAGTTCAGTTGACATGGAAAATTTATCTCGATAAGAGTCAGAAATTTCGATAATGCTAAATTTTCGACTTATTGCCCAGCCCTAAGTGAAGGGTAATATTGAACTATTAACTGTATTAATTTGAATATTGTCATTAAAATCTCTACTTTGGCTCTGCTGTTGTTAAAAATAACTTGGGTCCAGAATAGGGGTAGACCGATCTATCAATCAGCTGATATAGTGGGGCAGGCATTTACCGCTTTTTTTTTTTTATACATCGGTATCGGCCGATATTTGTCCTTAGTAAAGCCGATTTAAAGTCAGGCACCTCCTCGGGCAGCCTGATGTTGTAAATACATTTTTATGTTCACTAATAACATCTGCATAATTAATACTCTAAATAACTTTATTGATTTAGAAATTTTGTGCACCAACCAATGTTATTAGTGACGTTTTAACATGAAAATAAAGTGGAAAATGTCTAGATACCGGCCATGGAAATCCACCTTTAAAAATCAGCATTATATATGGCCATTGGCTGACCATGTCTCCTACATATCGGCATTGGTATCTGCAATAGACAAACCGATATCGGTCCACCTCTAGTCCAGAGCAACACTAACTGTTTGTTTCTGTAACCTAAAGGATGTTCAGGATCCCTCTGTGATTGTCAACTTTCCTTTGGTTGGGGAAGAGGATGTGTCTTTGATCGCTTGGACAACCACACCCTGGACACTGCCGAGCAACCTGGCCCTCTGTGTTAACCCAGAGATGCTGTACGTCAAGGTCAAAGGTGAGAGGTGTTAAGGTTTATCACCCATTGTTGTCCTGGCTCAGTCAGATGATACACATGATAGGGATTGTTATTTAGAACATCTGGATGCTGTAGTTTTGTTTTAGTAAGAAGTAACTTGTGACGCATCTTGTGCTCAGTGGGCATGTTTCTCTTGTAAATGACTTAAATTACCAGGGTTGGTACTTTTGTTTGAGCATTGATGCCTCAGGCCAAAGTTTTCTTACAAAAACCTTGTTTCCCGTGTGGTTTTAGTGGTTTGGACCCACAAATGTTAGCTGATGCTTGTTTTTGTTAATTAAGAAAGAACAAACAAGAACAGATTAACAGAAGCACACCGCCTTTGCAAATTGCACCCGAGAGACGAGGTGTTTGTGCTACATGTCGGTGGGCTCTCCAGCCTTTTACCTTCTATATCATGAAGTTTGTTGACCACTCGAGTCGACACGTTGATGCTAAGATATTTATATAACATGTTTATGTTTATGTAACAAGGTAAATAGCAGATCATTCCATCCATCAGGTGATTGATTCACACTACTTGGTGCTGCCTGTGCTTTTTAAACCAAAAATTATAAAAACAAGAATAAATAGAGACAGGACATTTGCATGAATACATAAAGAAGAAGAAAATTTGCAGGATAGACCCCCCCCCCCCCCCCCCACCCGCGTAGACGATGATTGTCTAAATGATGTTTTGCACTTTGCTGGTTTACGGGTTCTATTAGCCTGTTGTAGGTCCTGTAAGGCTTGGCTTTAACTCCTTTTACACCATCACTGGAACAAGGCCATCGAGACAATTAAATGGCAGTTTTATTGCAGAAAATTCTTAACTGTCAAAACTTAGAAGAATATAAATCTGCAGGATTTTACAGAGCTTGTTTGCACAGAGACATAAAAGTATAGAACTTTGCCTCAAATCATGATAGAAGAGGTGAGACAGAATCCTGTTAGAGTAACTGATTTATGATGGAAAAGGCAGAATTATTTTGATGTCCTTTTTATTATAAAGAAGTCATTAGTCAGCTTGTCTTGTTTTTATTTAAATCAGTGAATTTATCAGATTATCCAACTTACAGAATATAAATTAATCAATTTAATTTGCAGTTTTCTTTCTTTGATTCCAAAATTATTTCACTTTCTAAACCTGTCCGCCCACTTTAGGAATGTTGACATTCCCAGTAGTACTTGTGCGTTCTGCTTTTAAACAGTGCTATTACAAAAAGGCACGGCAGCTTTATTTGTATAGCATGTTTCATACACGGAGGCAAATCAATGGTTTTTCCAGGTGCATGAACAGCAAAATCAACGTGACAGCATAAATACGTGTGTGTGTGTGTGTGTGAATGGGTGAATGACTGACTGTGTTTAAGGCGCCTTGGTGGGTTGTAGAATCCTAACAGGGCGATATACAAATACTGGCTATTTTTTTTGCAAAGAAATTTGGATCAAATTAAATCAATACACAAATAAAATTCAGATTTAAGAATCGTGCTGCCAGAATATGTTACATAGAGTACACGAATCAAACTTTCAAAAGGGAAAATATGCAATTTTCCCAAGATAGTGTGCAAGATATTGAAGCTTTAAACTTTTTCTGTGTTTTTATGTCTCACAAAAGCACAACCCAGTAAGTGTGGACTGCTCTCTCTCTCTCTCTCTCTCTCTCTCTCTCTCTCTCTCTCTCTCTCTCTCTCTCTCTCTCTCTCTCTCTTTCTCTCTCTCTCTTTCTCTCTCTCTCTCTCTCTCTCTCTCTCTCTCTCATGAGCGAGAGAGCAAAATCTGGATAAACTTCAAATCAGGCCATTAAAAAAAGCATCGTCCTTGTTCAGATGGAGGGAAATAAAGCCCCAGAGAGGTGGCTTGTGTTTTGTACCCTCCTACTGTAGGTTTTGGTTTCCTGTGAGAGAAACTGGTGGGTTTTTTAATTGATGACCTAGATTTCTGTTTGCTGGTCAGACTCGAGCTGGCACTGCAGGGGGCGCTCTTGGAGCACACTCTGCACCATCCTAACTGCACTGATTGCACCGTGCTGCATGGGAGGCTGTCTTGGAATACCAATGAATGTGTTTTTTTATGGTATCAGCACAGCCTGTCGTTTTAGCTCCTTTCTTCTCTCGCTCCATCTTCATCTCACCATTTTCCCTCATTTTCATCATCCCCTTCTCCTGCTTTTGCCCTTCATTGTTCCTTTTTATCTTCATTTGAATACTTCTCTTTGTCTTTGTTGCTGTTTGAGTCGAAGGCTGTCGGCTGAGCTGTGCAGTAATTTTTTACACCACCAAAGGGGGATGAAACATCACGTATTGATTTAGCCCCCGTCCAGTTTCTTTTACTTTTTTGTTTTTTCTCTCATTGTCTCCGGCTATTTGGTTTCTCCTCTCTGCGCTGTCGTTGTGCCAGCTGTTCCCAGCATCTCCCCTCCTCAACAGGGTTCAGTTTCCTAAAATGTCTGTCTGTTACACCACACTAAGTGGCAAACACTGACTGCATCACATGACACTTAAACGAGAGAGAGCTCACGGGTAAAGCTGTTAATACGCAAGATTTCCTCATCAGACCAAAGCTGAGGGATAAATATTCTGATGAGATTCTGTGTACTGTACATGAATTTAGTGTTAAAATAATTAATCACTCCACTAGGGCTATTAGGATGACAGACACTTATAAATGACGAACTCTACTTCCCCTTGAAAATATTTCATAGCAAATTATTAATTATAGTCACTCGTTATTTTCTGATTATTGAGATTTAAAAGGGTCGTATCAAGGAAAATTCACTTTTTGGATCTTACCGAGTGAAATAGCCTTTCCTCATGAGAAATACCCTTAAACCCTTTTTTGGCTGCATTCATGCTTTTTCCTGCCTCAGCTTACATTTTTTCAAATTTAAGTTCCTGACTGCAAACGGACGAAAGTAGCCTGAGTGCGTCATCAGGAATTGCGCCTCCCTCTGAAGCTGGTATCTGATCTGGAACCTGCCTTCCTAGGTCACTACCCCCCACGTTCTCCTGAGCCCTTTTTAGAAGACGCTATGCTGGCAAGTCAGCTTAATACTGCAGCCCCGGTTTGTCTTATGAACGCAACATGGCAGCATGGCGATACGGGAATTTTGCGGTACTCATGCCGCCGCGCTTGGTGGTAATATTGCCACAACGCCGGGTTTGTGAATGCATATTATGCCTTGGCGCAGCAGAGGGTGGTGTCATGATCACGTGGGAAGTTACTGCTGAGCTCCGGCCAGCAACTATATTGAATATGAAAGTAAACACGGCGATGCGTTTAGCTTTTTAAACAAAGTTAGGTGAGATGATAAACTGGAGCAATGCAGAGCTCGAAGAGCTCCTCTCCATTAGAGCTGGAACTCAGATCACCAGAGAGTTCACGGGGACTGTGAGTGACACTGTTAGGAGCGACTTGCCAAAAAACACTTAAGAAGGACGGCTTCAATCATAAAAAGCAAGTTATGTCCAAGCTAAACGGAAGTCCACGGCAGCGCAGAGACCACCTTTATACCTCCTTTATATCGCCATCGTGTAAAATTAGGACACAATTGTGCCACATTACAGCCTCCATCTGAACACCTATAAACTACCTAAGGCTCAATCATGCCGACCCAGCATTGGGGCAAATTGTCTTTGGGATCACTAGACTGATAATGTTCTAGGACCATAGTGATCTGGGCGGAGAAGGCTGTAATAAGATTGTCAGATGTTGTCTACCCTGGCTTTAGACAGTTAAATGATCTTAAAATCAGTTCTAAAATTAACTGGTGCAGAAAGGACGGGTGATTTGATCCCATCTTCTAGAAGATCCCAAAGGTCTGGCAGCGGCATTCTGAATTATCTGCAAGTGAGAAAGAGTTTGTTATCTAACTTGGAGCATCCAGGTGCGTCTTTACATGACAAGGAGCAAATAATCAACAGTTATCTTAATAATAAAACAATTGATGTTAGCAATTCTACAGAGTTATTAAAAATACATTTTCAAACAATGAGGAGTCCATCAAGTTGCAGTGAGAAATATTATTGATATTTACAGCAGTCGTCAGTCTTCCCAGGAGCGGACATCTCATCGGGTTCACTCTGAGGTCACATCTCAGCAGGCTTCAGTTTAGACTATGTGACATCAGAAAACCATTAGTTGTTGATTATTCTTTACAAAACAATCAGGGAGAAAACCCAACTTACCAACGTAAGACGTACGTATATTTTTAAATCCTCTCTTTCAGATAACGCCACAGACAAGACCTACATCATGATGGAGGCCAGACTCGGAGCTGTTTTTAAGTCGGAGGCTGAATATACAATCTTGGACAGGTGAGTAGGAAAGTTACATTTTAAGGAAGCAAAAGACTGAAATTATAATAATGTGTCTAGATAGACTTCAGCTTTATGGCTAAAGTGTAAAACTGTTCAGAAAGCTGTGATTGCATTCACATTTTAAACTATTTCACCTAGAAAGAAAAGAATAAATCAGTTGTCAAACGTTCTGTAAGCGGCTTCTCCTGATTTACAACTTATCCTCCAGACTTTAGAGTTGTAAATAAAGTTACAGCAGAAAGGAGGTAAATCTGTTTCCCTGATCAGCCTAACAGCAGAGATAGAATGGCATCTGGAATGAAAACTGCACCTGAGTGAATAATGGATGTAGACTGTGTTGGATTCTGTGAGAGCATTTAGGTCTGATTTATTCCTGCAATTCCCAATCTGTATATGGGAACAATGAAGTGACAGTAGCAATGACATTGTTTCTCTCTTCTTTCACAAAATGTCCTTACAGAAGTGTCAATGTTTCAATTTGAGATAAAACCAAACTATCTGAGGAAAACAAAGTTTGTGAAATTGTTGCTAAAGGATTGAATGATAATAATGTTGAATGAACGTCATCACATTTAGCCACTAAACCCAGTTTGGTAAGCAACTTCTTTGTGCAGATTCACTTTCAAGCATTTGCTCCTTTCTTTTCCAACGTTAATATTAAAGTTCCAAATATCTAGGATTTTGTGTAGCTCTTATTTTGGCCGATGATTAACAAAAAATAAAATAAAACACGTGTAGCTCCCATATTAAAATTCCAGGAGATTTGGATTCTGTTTTTGCCATAAACAAGCAAAGAGATGCTTTAAGAGGAGCAGCTCTAATGATATAATCAGTTTCACCTTTGTGAGACGCATTAATTTAGACAATAAAACAAATCTTAGAGCATGTGGATGTTTAAAACAGCAAATGGATTTCTGCTAGTCAAATGCGTTATTTATTCATTTAATTTACATATTTTGGAACTTGCTTGGTGTTTCCTCTGCTGTTGGAGCTTATGAATACTGCATATTTGCATAAAGTTGATTTTCCAAATGTATTTTGTGTTTCTAGATTTGCTGGCAAGGTCCTAAAAGGGAAAAAGTACAAACCTCTTTTTATGTACTTCTCAAAGGTTAGTAGCTTGTTTGTAGTTGTTCAGACAATGAAAACAATGTCTTGCTCTAATTGTAGTTTCTTACTTTAATGTGAATCCTACTTTGTGTTTAAATTGTTTTTGACCACCGAGGCAGCAGGGCTGTGTCTATAAGAGTTACCCATGTATGCCCCACATAAATAATCCTCTTTCATGAATAACTGCAGATAAAAAAATGAGTGAAACAACACAAAAAATACAGACTTGACATTATCACCATTTATGTTTTTTATTTACACAATAAAAAGAAATACATTAAACGGTATGAATCAATTATGATTACGGTGCTGGAGGATGCAAAAGCCAGTGAAACGTATCTTAAGTTGCCACTAAACATATTTAGATATAAAATCATAAAAATCATTGATTACTAAACATAAATCAAATTTTAAAAGAAAGCTTGGAGATTTGGTAAATAATGAACAGTTAATGCTCTCCTTTACAGTCCTAGATGAAGAAGAGTGTTGCATTTTATGTGTGTGAATTGTTTAATTGACATTAAAATACGTATTGAACTGGGGATTTGTCTGTCAGTTAAGATTTTATAAATGAAGACTCGTATCAAAATGTTCACTTGATAGTAAGGTCAGGCGATGGGCTGAGCCGTTACGGTTGTTTTTTACAGGAGGCGATTTGTTTATTCATTTATTTGCTTGTTACTGACGAATATTTTTACACGCTACGCACAGAGAACAGCCATGAGTCTGTCTGAGGCAAAAGTCTAGACGCTCATAACCTCTTCAGCAAGCTCCCTAGAGACATTTGATTACACACAAGCTGCAGGTGACCAGTTTACGCAGTGCCAGAGGAACGTGCGTTCGAGCTGCAGGTTACTTGTTCCTAATTTAAGTGAAATCGTTGAATTGCATTGTTCATGTTACTGGGGCATTCTGATCAGCTTGGTTGGACTAAATATTAATTAAAATGGAAATTTAACGAATGATTATTCATTATTTAAAAAATGAAAGTGACGGGATAAATGGATCATGTGACCTCTGGCAGCAAGCAAATACTGCCTCCTCAGAGTGCGTCCAAATGCAGCGATTCATTCCATCCCCTACTTATAAAAGAAAGAACCCCCGAAGTTTTTATTCAGAAATAAACATTTTGCTTAAATCAAATACCACAACAGTGGACACCACAGGGAAACAAAGACGAGGCTTCTTTTTAACATTCTAACCGTGTTTAATACGGGCTGTTTATACGTCAAGCTACCAAACCACAAATACAAAATTAAACAAAAAGAAAAAATATAAATTTCTCTTCCAGCAAACATATGTGCTGTGCTTGTATAAAAAAAATCTATGTTTTGGGCTTCTTCTGTGTTCGCAAATCAGTCTGTGCGTCATGACATCACATGCACGAATAAATCGTTCATCATCTTTTTTTTTGGACTGACGATTGGCGGTGAGAAAAATTATACAAACCGCCCAATCCTACTTGATAGTCAAAATGTTTAGGCTGAAGATGTCCTTGCTTCGGGTCTAGAAGTTATTCTAACAAAGCATTTCTGGGGAAGGAAAACCTGGTTGAGAGTAGTGGAAAAAGTTCTACCCTAAATAAATTTGCAATAAGATAGATAAGGATAAACAAGGCTATAATATAACACAAGAAGACACTTTGTAGAAACAAAAACATTCTTTTATGCATGGGAATTTTTTTAAGCAGTGCTATCAAAGCTGCACGTGTCCACAACCCCCCATCATTTAGTGCACGTAAAGGCAGAGTATATATTATTAGTCTTAATTTTGTGCAGAATTGCATTGTTGGTTCTTTTTTTAAAACACAGATAAGGTTTCTTTTTACCTTGCTGACAGTTTTGTTTGTGGCTGCAAACATCCTCAGAGCTGACGCTGATGGTGGTGTCACTTCCTACTCCGTTTATCCGCGGGCAGCAGAGGATATTGTCGCCCTCTGCTTCCCGCTCTCCCCTCTCCTGCCCGCGTATAAACGGAGTAGGAAGTGACGCCACCATCAGCGTCAGCTCTGAGGAAGTTTGCAGCCACGAACAAAACTGTCAGCAAGGTAAAGAGAAACCTTTTCTGTGTTTTAAGAAACAACCAACAATGCAGTTAGAAAAGCAACACAGCAAGAACACACCAAAGTTGTGCAGTAATTGTTGTTTTTTCACTCTAAGTGTGGGGAGAAAGGAGCCTTCCAGGTGGTGACGGACAACTATGTGAAGGAGGAAGAGGGCACAGGAGTGGTCCACCAGGCACCTTACTTTGGAGCTGTGAGCATCAACTTTAAGATTTCCACTCTTTTTGCTTCTGTTTGTTCTCCCCTCAGAGATTACATTGCAGCATCATGTGACCAAGTGTTGAACCTTATTAAAGCACAGCAAGCACGGTCACTTCATATGAAAAGTCTGCACAGAAAAACAAGACGTTTCTTTTTCATTACTTTGGTTCCCTAAAGAAGAGGAAGAAATTGCAGCACAAATACTAAGGAATATCACATGCTTATACCACCTGACTGAAGACATGGTGAATCGCACCTGGAAGCCAATGACTTGTGAGAGGCCCTGCTTGGATTTAATTACATCCATCATCAATAACTCGATTTACCAAACCCAGATGTATAGCTCAGGAAAATAAGTGTCTTACCTCGCTCCTCTCAGTCTGGGAAAGCATTTAAAGACTAATAATTTTGTTTCCTCTCAGATAAACTCTTGACAAACCAAAATAAAAATGCCCTTCTATTTGTAAGGAGATCTTACTGCTTTGACACGTTTGTGAAGGTTCAGAAAATAAGTTGCAAAATGAAGAGAAATAAAGAGTAGAACAACAAAACCTACCTGTGGGTTTGAAGCTGAATTTGTTTCAGTATTTTTAAAACTCCTGGTACCTTTAGAAAAATGTTAAAGCAGATGCAGCGACTTGTTTGCTTTTAAAGTGAAAGAGGTGAAGAGCTAATGGAAATGTATAAAAGAGGATGATATAGCTACTTTTCTTGCACAAATGTAAAACTAAAGTCTAATTTCTAGTTGCTACCGTGGTTTATTTTTGGGGAACACACTCTAAAGAAGGTTTTTCTGTTGCACATATGTGGTGTTGATTATTTTTTTAGGCTGATTTTCTTTACAGCAACGGCGGCTCAGGGGTTAGGAATTCACCCTGTAATCAGTCATGTCAGTTGTTGTGTCCCTGGCCAAGACACTTCACCCTCTTTACCTGCTGGTGGTGCTGTGTCAGTGTGCCCCAGGGCAGCTGCGGCAACAGTATAACTCGTCATCTCCAGTGAGTGAATGGATCAATAATTCATTGTTGTGTAAAGGGCTTTGGAGTCCTCTGTCTCAGAAAGGCACTACACAATTGCAGGTCATATATGATTTGACCAATATCTTGTTTAGCGTCCAGCAAACGGCAGAGAACCTCTCGGCTAGTAGAAGCTAACATTAGCATTAGCATCTCCACCACATGGCAGAACTCCTCCAGGCTTGAGTTATTTGTGGAGATAAAACATCAGTGTTGCAAAGTAAACAGAGTCTGTGGTAGAGTCACATTGCGGTTAGCCAATCAGAGGCAAGAATCCAAATATCAGGAAATAAGACTCCAGATCCTGCCGTCTGAACAGGGTTTTTCCTGGCTCAAATTGAGGCAGAGGTGGTACCATCCTGACCCTGCGCCAGCACATGCATACTCTGTTCATTGAACTGCCTCGCTTTTTTAAAGGCTAAATATTATAAAAGGCTCAATAATATGCATTAGATTGGTGTTTAGTTCCCTTTTTCCCATCTGATATTTATAGTTTAAAAAATTTGCTAATTTTTGACCTACATTTCAGTAACATTTTAGGTTTGTATTAATAACTCTCATCTTAGTCAAAATAACACATAAATATATCCAGTAAAATATAATGCATTTCATTAACATGCATTTGTATTGGAAATGGTAATAACATTTAATTTCTGCTGCTAACATTGTAATGGTGGCATGTCTATTATGTACGGGTTGGCAATAATCCAGTTCAAAGTTTATGTTCAAAGATTGAAGCGGGTGTGTGAATTATATACTACAACGGCTTGCTGTACTTCATGCTTCTGTGTGCAGCGGTTCTGAGCCATAGCACTGCAGGATGCAGAATAAACAGGATGGTGGGGACTTTTCATCCGCTTGTAGAGTTTAGTCTTTCATAGTTTTACGATCATCATATATATTTCTGTGCGCCACTTGATCGTGAGACTGCTACCCTTTAGCTTTAGCATTAGCCAATCTGCGTGTAGCTGCACTTTTGATCACAAACTTTGGACCGGTGTTGCACCCGACCCATCACAATTTGTGACCCCAGGGGGCAGTGTTGCATTTTGTTGCGTCTGTACATCCTGAATTGGCATAAAAGAAGAAGATGCTATGTTAAAACCGTAAATTACGTAAGCTTTGAGGAAGTTGTGTGGCGTGGACCATGAAAATTAAAAAGAGCGTTTGTTAATGTTTATTGCAAACAAACGGGACAATAAATGCAGCGATAACCAGGGCTTTGACAAGAAATGTTTGCTAATATGACAGTGTGAGCGTCCTGTCACAGTGTCATGACTGATCATGCGCCCTGGCTACCTGGCCAAGGGGATGCTCCTTTGCCTGTGGTGACTGGTGAGCACGCATGACTCTCACCCGGGAGTCTGGGAATCGAATCTCGCCCTGGCCCTCGCCTCCTCACCTTGCCACACTAGCATTAATCATTGATTTTACAACATGCGAGGTCCGCAGGTAAAATGTTCAGAACTTCCATTTATTGAAATAAATTGTTGTGATCTACATCCTCAGTTTTTTAGAAACCACTGCAGATTATCTGGTTGCTACGTTTTTTTCTCCTGTCACTCCAATGCCACTCATATGAACTGGTGGAGATAAAAGGGAAATAAAATGACACAAACATCACGAAACGCCTTTTGTTGTTATTATCTTTTGTGAAAATTAAAGACATTTGCATTATTACTGAGATGCAGACGGTCACATTATGTGATAACCACTATCGTATTGTGTGACCATACTCTAACTTCAGTTATAATTATTTTTACATCACACAAACTGTTTCTGGTAACTTCTCTGATGATGTAGTTTATAAAAAAGTGCATTTGACCTCTGACATTTGCATTCAAAATGCAACACTGCCCCCTGGGGTCACAAATTGTGATGGGTCGCAGAATTTGGTGTAACACCTGTTGTGCCTTTGCTGGTTCCTTTATTTTCTTCCATTGCATCCAGATGACCACACTGCGCCAGTAGAAAGCATTTTTCTTGCATGTAACTTACTTTTGTTCAATAAAGTTCTGGGGAAAATAGAAATTCAAAAATGTTGCACCAGTGCTACGTTTAAAAATGGACAGACACGCACAGACAGCTTTTTTTCGTCGCTCTGTACAGCCCTGCTCTGATATGGAAGAGCCTGGGAGAAAATCAGGACGTTAAGTAGCACCAACCATAGATATGTAACTAGCGAGAAAAGCAGTTTATGATCTTTGTCTGCAGCGGTTTTAGTGTGTTTCGGTGCACCGCTGCTGATACAGCGCCCGTGTAGTGGCGCAACGCTGCAATTGCAGTTAAAATAACATCCATATAGCTGGGGGCAGAGTGAAATCAGGCTGGAGGCGGCCGCCACGCTAATTTGAATGCAGGAAACACCCTGCTGAAGCTCAGTTCGGATCTGGCAATCTTCTAGATCCTAAAATAGGCGCACCGGGGCTTTATTTTCCCCGAGTACGTCTTACAAGGTATTCACTCTTACTACCACAGCAAATGTATTGATTAAATTAGTGTTCTACACCTTTAACCAAAGTTAATTTAGCAAATCAATAAACTGATCAAGTATTAAAACTAAAAAGTAGGTGAATAAAATGAAACATCGGTTAAAAATAATGTGCTAGAGCATTTATCATTCAGATTTTTTATTAACTTAAACAATAAAAAAAAGGATTCTGCAGCTGCACCAGGCTGCCTACAGATGTGCCTGACTTTAAATCGGTTCTAATAATAAGATAAGTAGGCTGAAGGGATACATGGTAAAAATTGGCCAACTGATATTCTTACTCTTCACACAATAACGGCGTGTTTTTTTATACATGGTATACTTAATTACAGCATAATATAATATCAAAAACCTGAACATGCATTGGCAAAAAAAAAAACAACAACAGTAAATTGTCTGAGTTCTGATTTTATCTTTAAATTAAAAAAAGGGCCATTTAGTGTATACAAAGGGGGTGGGGCTTATTTCCTGTGCAGCAGCCAGCTTTAGACATATTTTCTAAATCCCCAAATGAAAACGGGTTTTGTGAACCGTTTTGCTTTTTCAGGACTGGTTCTATAAGAAAACATTTTTAAAATGCAGCAGAATGAACATATCGAGGCCAGTGCCATAACCTAATCAGAATGATGTGTCTTAACTAATAGCTTTGCTGCCCTTTTAGGGTGCAGATGGATGCTTCTTGACCGATGCCTGCTGTGAATATCTGCAGACTCAGGACTCTGCTTTTTTCACTGCAGCCTCATTTCTATGGGGCCGTTGGCTCACTCACACATCTGCATCCTGCCGTCATTTTAATCAAAATTTGTTCTTATTTTTTGTTTCAGCTTTTATATTCAGTGGTCATATTCTTTGTGATTTGCTTGATAGTAATTGCTCAAATAAGAATACATTTGCTTATAGAGGATAAAACCTGAAGAGGGAAAGCTCTGGAAAAACACATTTTTCAAATTTTATTTTGTTGTGACTAGATGTGAAATGACCCTGTGAGTCATCGGTCTTGGATCCTGACAGGGACTTTGAATACAAATTCCATTTAGAGCTGGGTAGGTTTCATATGTTCATACATAGCTGTCACATACCAGTTGTCCTTGTTTCAGTGCTGGAAGAAAAGTGTTACATTTAATGGGCAGTCATAACATATCTGTAGGTTGGTGAAACTGGCAGCCTGAGGGGTTTCTTGTACAGCAAAACTATTAGGAATGTAACAATACATCGATTAGATGGTCATAGATCTAAAATGCAAAAATCGATAGGATAACTGTCACACACTTTTGTTTTGAAAACTGCTTTATTTTGAAGTCCTGCGGACATGCCATTTTCCTCTTGTCGAACGTGTTAAATAAAGAAGTTAGTGACGTCATGGCAATTGTGTTTAATCACTTGGGATATTGTTTCATATTGACTGGTGAGTCCTAAATGGGACCAAATCGAAATCGCATTGTGAATGAATTTGAGAAATTGGTAAACATCGAGTCTCTAACTGTTGTATCGTTATATTGTATCTTTATCAAACTAGTGATGTACACCCCTAGTAACTATGTATATTAGTAACATCGAAGGCTAAAATGAGCTGTGTCCGCATTAGGATTGTGTATTTTCAGCTTATCATTTACAATAAATACTTGTACACATGGAATAACAAAAGAATTTAAAGGAGTATTCAGACATTTTTGACCTTTTCTTCCCACAGGATGATTACAGGGTGTGCACCGAATACAACATCATCCAGAGAGACCAAGCTCCTATCTGTCCTGTGGATGCCTCAGGCTGCTTCACTTCAGAGGTCACTGACTTTGCAGGACAGTATGTCAAAGTGAGTGACACACCATTCATTTACATGCAGAGTACGTTCAGACGTTTGACTCTCTCTGAAGGCCTGTAGCGTGATACTCGGGATCATTCTCTGTATTCAGCTCATCTTACTAATTTTCTTTCTTTATTACATGTTTATTTCCCCCAAGGTCGTGATAACTAGAATAAAAGTTCTAAAATGGGAAGTTTTAGAAATCTGAATTGGAGCAGAATGCAACATCATGGCCTTTTGCTTTTGTTTACCATAACACTGGATTCCCTCTCAACACCCAATTCACTCTGAGTGGATAATCAGTTAAAAATAGCAGTGCTACATGATGTGGCCACTATGTCACATTGTGGTGCGAAGGCCAGGGAGTGGACTTAACCTGCCTAGTTGCTAACGGTACGTCGTAAGCTAATAAAGAGCGTGCAGCCACAGTGCTCTGAAAGTCTGTCATAATCCCCTTTTGAAATGTGTTAAATCCTAGCCTGAGTTTCAGGGCTGCCTGAGAAATTCTTTAGAGCCGCATAAAAACAAAGATGTGATCCAAGGAAGCCAGTCTCGGCGTGGGTGGCGTAAGCGAGCGACAGAGGCAGTTTTCAAGCAAACCCGGTGTTTTACACAACATGAGAGCTTCATCTTACATCCAGAAGAGCTTGCAAGTCGGCAGTTCCAGTGGCAGGATGAGGGTTCAGAGCCCTTCGCCAGCCCGGTGCCGTGGAAACTCGTACGACAGCCGCGGACGCTCAGGTTATGGTGGAACCGCTGTTGAGTTGGGAACCGAGATACACCAGCACCATGCCAACGAGAAGGAGGAGATGCAAGAGCTCAATGTTAAGTTTGCAGGGTACATCACGAAAGTCCAGGCGCTGGAGCAGAGAAATGCCTCTCTTCAAGCTGAGCTGTCCGCGTTGCAGAGCCGTTACAAGGACAGCCCCGTAGGCGTCGGAGAAGAATACGAGCTGAAGTTCAAAGTGGTGCGGGAACTGATTGAGAGCCTGACTAATGAGAAGGGAGCAGCCGATATCGAACGAGGCTACATAGAAGAGGAGGTTGAAGTGTGGAGACTGAAGTTGGAGGAGGAGCTGGCTCTCAAAGAAGAAGCAGAAATTATCCTGCGAGAGTTTCGCCAGGATGTGGACAACGCTACCCTGCAAAAAGCTGAGCTGGAGAAGCGCACTGAACAGCTCGTAGCGGAGATCGAGTTTCTCAAGAAGCTGCATGACGAAGAGGTTGCTGACCTGTTGAAGCAGATTGAGGACTCCAAGATTTCTGCTGAGATGGTTGGAGATCGTCCTGACCTGGCTGCTTATCTGCGCAACATGCGCGCAGAGATAGAGGCAGTCGCTGCCCGCAATGTCCAGGAAGCAGAGAAGTGGTACAAGAGCAAGTTTGATACCCTGAAGGAGCACGCAGGCAAACACGAAGAACAGATGAAGACTATGAAAGATGAGATCACAACCTTCCACAATCAGGTGACAGACCTACAAAGCCAGATCGATTCTCTGAGGGCTCGCAATGCCGCCCTGGAGCATCAGCTGGAGGAAATGGAGATCTCCCACTTGGATAAGGTGGGTGGTCTAGAAAGCGTCATCGCCCAGCTGGAGGCCCAACTCTGTGACACCAAGCTGGAGATGACCAAGTATCTTCAAGACTACCAGGAACTGTTGCACATTAAGCTCAAGCTGGATGCAGAGATCGCGACTTATCGGAAGCTGCTGGAAGGGGAAGAACAGAGGCTTGGAATTACCAAGGAAAACTAAAAAGCTAGGAAGTGAGCCGAGGCAAATCCAGATCAGTCCTGAAGAAAACCTTAACCTACACGGAGTCTACTGACAAAGACTTTAAAAAAATCTGTCTTGAAAAAACGCAGGGCTGGATATTGTTGCACATTTCCAATAACGGTGTCAACACAAGCAAACCTTGTCTGGTGATTTGCTGGCTTGCACAAAGAGCCATAAAATCATAGAAAAAAATATTATTGGACTTTACAACAATTGTCTATACTTCTGCAGTTTTAAGATTTATGTGCTACAGATAAAGATCCATCAGGTTCATAATATCCAGCCCTCCTTATCCTATAGTTCATCATTGACCCCATTCTGCATTACCTTGCTGCCTTTACTGCTGTTCCTTTACAGCCACCTTCAGTGGAAAGTTTCACCTTATTTTCTCAACCCATAGTCTGTCATTTTTTTTATTGGCTCTCGCTGTCTCCTCTCATTCCCGTGTTTGGCAGCCCTCATTTCTCCTTGTTCGTTTCCTTTCCTCTACACCTGCTCCTGCAGTACTCTGGCTAAATTTACCTTTCCTCTTTTTCCTGCCAAGTCAGCCCCACTGTCATATCTCTGTCACTTCTCTGTACTTGTCTTCAAGCTGCTTTTTGTCTCAGTTTTGGTTCTCACCATCCTTACATTAAAACCCTCAGAATGTTTAGGCAAAATACAGCTGCTGATCATTTCTACTAATGTTAAACATCTGTTGTCTAATAAAGATTTAAGTGAGTGCATACCAAATTGTTCAGTGATCATATTCCTCCAGCTAATGATCTATTTTTTTTTCTTTATTTTCTCTCCAGATTTAAGTCAGTTTGTGTAAGAAATTAGCTTTATGTCTATTATTCATTCATTTGGAAGGGACAATGCTCATCAATGAACATCTGTTGAACTTTCAGTGCATATAAATATTCTAGATGATGGCATAAATGCACAGGAAAACATAAAAATAAACAAAACAGTAATAAAAGAAAGAAACACATCACAGACATACACATTAAATTTCATACACTAGCAAAAGGTTAGTGGTTTTTATAGTGAGGCCTTTCACTATTTTATATTATTTTAGTCATTTGACCAATGGTTAAATTGGTTTGACCATTTCACTGGGATAGGGCAAATTTTTTTTTAATAAAATTTCTTGTTCATAGTTCTTAAATTATAAATGCCATTGATCCTTTTTTGTGCTTTAATTCGTGTTTTAATTAACTTTTCAAAACTTTTGGTTGATGATGTATAGAAAAAAGTAACATATCTATACAACGAGGTCAGGCTCTGCTTAATACTTTGCTGAGAACTTTAATTTATGAGCTTCCTGTGAATTGAACTGCGAGCTCGGCTCGAGGAAGATGAATAGTTGGTGATGAGTCACTAGACTTATGAGATGATCATAAACAGGGAGCTGAACAGGAAAACACTGTTCTTCTCCCAGATATTTATCATTGCTGTTTAGGCAGGCTCTGACCTTGGCTGCAATAATTGAGAATTTATTTTTTCATATTTGCATAAAAACAGAGCGTTCAAGGATTCAGAGGTTTCTTCCTTTTGTAAGAAATTTAGCATCAATTTATTTCACCTGCATTAAACGCAAAGGGCAGCTGTGGATTTGGAAAAAAAACAAATGAAAATATGCAATAGTAGGAATTAGGGATGTGTATTGGTGAAGTTCTGATGATGTGATGCATATCACAATACAGGGGAGACGATGCAATATATCGCAATATAGTGTGATATCAATAATTTCTTACATCCCTAGTAAAAATAGGTTCATAAAGACAAGGTGGGATGGCATTTTTATTTTAAACTTAGTATTTTCTGCATTTGCGTGTAACTTAATATTGAGTATTTTTCATTAATTAAATATTATTTTTCTATGTTTTGTTCTAAATAGTTTAACTTGTGTATTAAGTCAAACACTGGATAATAAAGCAAGTTTAATTCCACTGGCCGCATAACCGTCGCATAACTCAGCCTTTCCATTGGATGTGTAAGCGTTGCATAACGTAATAGATGCCTTTTACCTACAAGCTCCCTTCTCACCGTGCAAAACAGCAGCAAAAGCATTCCACACAGCGGATCATGACATCAAGCACGGAGAAAGACAGCAGCACATATTCAAAAAGATCTGTTTTGTTTTTATTTTCTGTTCCATTTACCTCGGCTGCAGAGGTTTCACAGAAAAAGGTGTACCTTTTTTTTTTTTCCTAGTTAAGCAACTGGAAATCTGCTCATGGCTTTAATTTTGAAAGTTTCTGGATGTTTTACACTGCTTTTTAGTCTTTTCCTCTCCAGCCCGATCTGAACGGGGGAGTCTGACACATTTTGGAAGCATAACACATAAAAATAGAGTTGCAGTCACTTCAACATGGAGTTACACACCACCAAATCATTCAGTGGAAAGGCCGGTTTACATCTGCGAAGCAAGTAGCCACCATTATAATGGATGGGTGCGTTTCCACTGGCCATGAAGCACAACATTTTGGAAGCGTTCTAAAAGCATGGGGACGTTTTGCGTACGCTTCGAGCCTAAGTCAAACTCCGCAAATCAGATTGGGACAGACAGGAAGTCAAACACAAAAGTGGTGTAAAACATCTGGAAAGTTTCAAAATAAAAGTCACATGCAGATTTACGGTTGCTTAACTAACCAAAGAAGTAAATTATTTCCTGTGAAATCTCTGTGGCCAAGGGAAACATAACAGAAAATAAACTACAGACCTTTTTGGACGCTGCATGCTGTTGTCTTTTACTTTGTTTTTTATCATGTGAACTCCTGAAATCACACGTGGTGTTGCAATTCTCCCGTGATTTTATGACCTCTCAACAGCAGCGGCTTGGAACATTTTCGCACCATTTTTGTGTCTGAAACCCTCCCGGCTGGAATGGAGCTCGCGTCTGTTACGTTATGTTCTGCTTATGCCTCCAGTGGAATGGCTGGGTCAGACTAGTGATGTGCAGAGGTACTATTGGGCTTATTGAAGCATCAGTTGCTTCAGTCGTTTAAGACCAGACGCCTCTTCATTTTGTTTCAGGATGCTGATAAGAACATCATTAAGATGCTGAAGGAAAGGGGACGCCTGGTCAATGCCTGCACCTTCAAACACAACTACCCTTTCTGCTGGAGGTGAGACACTGACAGAATTCACTTTAGACCTTATTTTACTGATTTCCTCTGAGATTACCTTCTTCTTACTCTCTTAAATCAATCAATCAAAGCTTTATTTATAAACTTTATTTTTAAACTAACAGCTTTAATTTGAGTTCTTATCTACAGTGCTTTTAATACTCGTAGATTATTCCACCCCGCAGGATAAAGGTGTAGAGGTCAGATGCAGGCTTGATGAAATTAGACATACCGTATATTCCGGAGTATAAGTTGCTCCGGAGTATAAGTCGTACCAGCCATAAAATGTATAACGAAGAAGAAAAAAACTTATATAAGTCGCATTTTGGAGGGAAATTTTAATATTTTTCTTACAAAATCTCAGACCAAGCATTTCACATTGCAAGACAAGTACCGGTAACAATAACAGAATAAACAACCTGTTGCATCAGCGGTATACTGATGCAACATTGAGGCATTGAGGGGCATTGAGGTGGGGAACAGAGGATGACTGGATGTGCACCACTGGCAGCGGGCGGGGAGAGCTCATTCCTGGGTCGGAGCCGGCCAGCAGCACCCCGCCACAGGCTGCAGCAGGTGATGGCGGTGTTTGAAACCCTCCCAGCGGGACAGGGGAGCTCATTCCTGGGTCGGAGCCGACCAGCAGCAGCGCGGTATACATAATTTGGTTTATAAGTCACTTTGGTATATAAGTCGCAGGACCAGCCAGACTATGGAAAAATGTGCGACTTATAGCCCGGAAAATACTGTAATTCCTCCTTAAACCTTAAACCGTGGCATTATATTGTTATTGGACATGAAGGTCAGTGTTATGCACAGTGTGGGTAGCATTTTTATGGACTCTGCAGAGAATCGATTTACAAAAGCCACCTTAAAAAACTTTCAAACTTTTTGTTTTCATGTTCACAAACTTAGAAATGTACTCGAAATATTAGATAGTTGAGACCATTGTGACTGTTTATTTTATTTATATCTACAAACATGCCTCTTCCTCCACGCTTAAATGTTGAGATTGAATGAAATAATCTCTTGGAACTGATTTTTCAGGTCTGACACCCCCCTGATCTACAAAGCTGTCCCCAGCTGGTTTGTGCGAGTGGAGCACATGGTGGAGAAGCTTCTGGACTGCAATGGAAAATGCTACTGGTGAGCTGTTTACCAACTTGTGCTTTCGTGACCGTAACGCGTCAGTGATGAGCATTTCACCAAACAAGTGGTCTTAAATGTTTCGAAAGGGGGCAGAAAGCTGATGCAGTCCCAAACCAATTACAGCTGTAGCTCGGCACTCCATCAAGTTGTTGGCCTGTCGATGGAGAACGTCCATTTCTGGGTGGAGGAACTTTAAAAAAAGGGGAAAGATAGTGAAGGATTTCAACAACTACTAGCTTAAAATTAGTTTTTGAGAATTTTGAGAGTATAAATGGGATATCATCATGGGGCAATTTATTTCTCTTTTTATTGAAAAGATTTACGCATTGCTAATTCTACAGAAGAATAGTTTGGAATGACTGGTTTGCTAAGTGGAATTACCCATGGTGCTCCCAGTGCTCTTTACTGAGCCACAGTAGCTGCCTCTGGTGATGGGACTGTCAAGCCAAGATGAATGACTAGCCGCAAGGAAGGTGAAGATGCACAGGCGCACGTGTACAGCATCACACACACGCGCGTGCGCGCACACACACGCGCACACAGCTTTAAGGTTTATAGTCCTTGTCTAAAGGCTGCTGGTGCTGCATACACTGAGCTGCCAAATTATTAGGTAACTCCAGTTGAACCCTGTCCACTTCATCATCAGCCTTCATTCAGCATGTAAGCTATGATATGAGGACATTTCACATGTTTAAAACTAACGTTGACACAATATAAGAAAATATATCAAAATATTTACCAGTTTTAGGAAAAACTCTCCTTTTAGTTCTGTATGTGATAGATATGTTAAATCTGTGATAAGTTCGTGTTTAATGGTTTACATATTGTGATGCAGATGCATATATTGTGTTTTCCTACTTGTTTTTGGATCTCAAAAAGACAGTTGCTGCTTGATGCCGTTCGTTGTCTGTGACGGGGTGGGGCTGGGGATCGTAGGCGTGGCGCTGGAATTTCAGCCGTGGCACCTCAGCGCCTGAGCCTATGTAGGGGAAATACTGCAGTTTATGCCACTCATTGATCAGAGAATAGAAGGCCAACTTTATACGGTGATGAATTATTAAAGAATCCTGATCTTCATAACTGCATAAATATAGAGTTTTGATTTAAGAAAAGGCTGAGACCCCAGTTCTGCTAATTTTTTCATTCCTTTCTTTTTTGTGTTACCAATGATTCGTCAAATTTTGACTAAAATCGGCTTCGCTGTGGCTGCTTAGCCATGATGGCACATTCACTTAACCCTCCATTTTATTCATCTGCTTTAATTATTTTTCTATCCTCCTAATCATCTTTCTTCATGGAACAAAACCTCCATCTATTAATCTTTTTTCAACCCACCCCCACTGTCTCAGGCTTGTAATATAAGCCTGTGTATCTTAAATAACTTCTCTGTTTCGAACACAAGACTTCATGCTTTAAATTCTTAATTTCAGCATGAGCTGAGAAGATGAGGGAGAAAGATGGAGGCTCGCTGGTGAGCTGCAGCAGCAGGAAACAAAATTCATTAAATTGATATATTGGGGGCCTAAATAGAAATGCCTCCTACAAATGGGAATTGATGAACTCTTTGCTTAGCACGTGGATCCTGGCACGAGTTTTACTCAACACTGCACTGATCTCCCGAGCAGCACAGCCAGAGAGAAGGGCAGGGAGAATAAGAGGAAGAAGAGGAGATTGGGAGGTGGTGGATTACAGCTAAGAGTTAATGGGAAACTAAGAAAGGAGATAAGGGTGTAAACAAAAAAAAAAACAGGAGGATACCTTGAAAGGATCGATAACCTTTTGAGCGAGGTTTCATGAAGATAGGCTAGTGTTTATATCAGGGTATCCGCAGGTCCTTAAAAAGTCTTAAATTGGCTTTTCCAAATTTAAGGCCTTAAAAATCCTTAAAAATGACAAATAATCTTTAAATGTCTTAAATTACCAAAGACCTAATAAACAAGATTCTTTTATTTCTATAAAATTTTCGTGAATTTCTACTTAGTGTTCAGCGTTTTTTGTGTACGATATTGGCAAAAGCGGAACCGTACACATTCAGTTGGTTGTGAAAGGGGGCTATTTTTAGTGTCGGTGTGAAGCAGCTGGGATGAGGATCAGCACCTCCAAATCTGAGACCATGGTTCTCGACCGGAAAAGGGTGGCTTGCCAACTCCGGATCGGGAGAGAGGCCCTACCTCAAGTGGAGGAGTTTAAGTATCTCGGGGTCTTGTTCACGAGTGAGGGTAGGGGGAATCGGGAGATCGACAGGCGGATTGGTTCGGCGTCTGCAGTGATGCGGACGCTGAGCCGATCTGTCGTGGTGAAGAGGGAGCTGAGACAGAAAGCCAGGCTCTCGATTTACCGGTCGATCTACGTCCCAATCCTCACCTATGGTCATGAGCTCTGGGTAATGACTGAAAGAACGAGATCACGGATACAAGCAGCCGAAATGAGTTTCCTCCGTAGGGTGGCCGGGCTCAGCCTTAGAGATAGGGTGAGGAGCTCGGACATTCGGGGGGGCTCGGAGTAGAACCGCTGCTCCTCCGGATCGAAAGTCAGTTGAGGTGGTTTGGGCATCTGGCATCTGGCATTTGGGCGTCTGGTCTTCAATCAGCCAAAACGAGCACACATCACCCTTCTGTTCATTGAGCTCCACTGGCTACCGCTAGCAGCACGCATCAAATTCAAATTGCTAACACTGGCATACAAAGTCCGAGATGGTACGGCTCCCATCTACCTGAATCCTCTTGCAAAGGCTTACGTCTCGGCCCGGCCACTCCGGTCATCACAGGATCGTCGGCTAGCAGTGCCTACACCACGCTCAGGACAATCCAGACTCTTCTCATGCATCGTTCCACAAATGTGGAATGACCTTCCAAGCACTACCAGAACAGGGGCTTCCTTTTCAATTTTCAAGGAACTCCTGAAGACCCTGCTCTTCAGAGAGCATCCTCTAAACTAGCACCCTCCCTGCACCCGTCCCCCCTCTCTACAGCCCACTCCTTGTTCCCTCCTCTCCATGATTGATGTCAAGTTGTTGTTGTTATTGTTGTTGTTAGCCTCAAGGGCAACATGCCGATTATCACTTGTAAGTCGCTTTGGACAAAAGCGTCTGCCAAATACATAAACATAAATATCTGGTCAGGATGCCTCCTGGACGCCTCACTGGGGAGGTGTTTCGGGCATGTCCTGCCGGCAGGAGGCCCCCGCGTCGACCCAGGACACATTGGAGAGGTTACATCTCCAATCTGGTCCGGGAACGCCTTGGGGTCCTGCCGGAGGAGCTGGTGGAGGTGGCCGGGGAGAGGACGGTCTGGAGCTCCCTAGTTGGGATGCTGCCCCCGCAACCCGGGATAAGCTGAGGAAGACGACGGCGACGGCTATTTTTAGATGAGCACATTAGCTGTTTAAGCTAGTGGGAGCTTTCGCCATGGGGAAGGACAAGTTTAGTGGTAACTGGATGGCTAATCCCGCGCTCGCGACGTGGTTAGCACCGGTTCCAGGCAATAGCTGGAAATTATAGCTTAAATTTATTTTTTAAATAGCTTAAATTTGGTCAAAGTGGCCTTAAAAAGGTCTTAAAAAGTCTTAGATTTGTCAGAGGGACTGGTGGCGTCAGTGTTTAGCAGCCTCGCCTCTGTCAGTTTGCCCCAGGGCAGCTGTGGCTACATTGGTGCTCATCACCACTAAGGTGTCGGGGGATAACTGATTGTGTTGTAAATTGCCTTTTGGGGGGGGTGTCCGTCCTTGAGCTCTAGTAGGCACTATATTAAATACAGGCTATTTACCATTAAGGAATTGTTTTGAAATCACAATATTCTCTGGTAGTGAACAGCACTTCTATCATCAAACTCCATGCGGTAAGTAAAAGCCGCTTGGCTAGAACTCTTAAAACTAGCAAATAAATCAATATTTACATATTTTTGCTAGTTTTAAGAATTCTAGCCAAGCAGCTTTTGCTTAGCCCATTGGTAGATTTTTGTTTACTCAAAACAAGAAACTTAGGATTGTTTTTTACAAAATTTACTTTGTTTTATTCTATTCAAATTTTCTATAGAAGATATTTATTTACTTTTCAGACTGAAAATAAGATAACATTTAAAAATCAGCTTTTTAAAAGGTTTTTGCAGTGTGGTTAAAACTCGTTTTGTTCTTGACAATTGAAACATGTGCTAACTTGTGTTTCTGCAGGGTTCCAGAGTTTGTACGTGAAAAACGTTTTGGAAACTGGCTGAGAGACGCACGGGACTGGGCTATTTCCAGAAATCGTTACTGGGGCACACCGATCCCCCTGTGGGTCAGCGACGACTACGAGGAGGTCAGGAGAACATAAAACACACAAACACACCCTTGCACTTCCATGCTAACGTGTTTTTGTACTGCGTAAGACCCTTAAATTTCTCTGTCATGACTAAATACCAAGATAGTTATTGTCATGTTTGTAGCTCTTAAATCTTCTGCAAGGCTGAATGTGAGACGGTGTAGTTTAAAAGTTATTTACCATAGAAAGTTTCTTTTAGCAGAGAAATAATAATTAGACTTTTCTAAAAGATTAGTCTGCTGCACAAGCACAAAAATGTTTGTATAGATTAGCAGTGTGAAAATGCACACCACCATAGTTCAACAAATCTGGCCCATTTGTTGTGTGTAGAAGAGATTTCCTGGTATTCCAGAGTGAGGTGACCGTGTAGCGTGATGCGGTTCTGCAGTCAGGAGTCGACTCCCTCCAGGCACTGTTACAGAGCGCCTTCATAAACTCAACACATGAATGATTCAATAATGTAAACAGCAAATAAACATGAATCAAAATGCTGTTTGGTTTCACTTCAGTTAAAGGAACTTCAAAGATGTTCAAGACAAACAACTGTTGGGGTTTAATGGCAGAAAGACAGGAAAATGGAAAAAGAGGAGATGGGATGCAGGAAACCCAGTAGAAAAACACTGAGGGAGAGAGAGATTTAAGCAAAGCGTGCCAGACTGTAAATGTTCGTTTTATGTCGAAGCCGACTGACTGTGCAAAGTTTTGAAAAGACATGTCAGAATTGGGTTATTTGAGCGTCTGAAAAATGAAGTGTTGGTCCCCTAGCTGAAAGAGGGACAGCAAGCGACCTGCTTGCTGAAAATAGCATTGTGAGTGTTTCCAGAGCACTTGCACTCCCTGGTGTCTCCTTTACACACTCTCACGCACACATACCCCTCAGCAGAAAACTACACACCATATCTAAAGCTGTAAGCATCTGCATGTTCTGAGTGTGGTTGAATGCCTGCTTCTCCCAGCATCTTTCCTTTTAGCTGTGTTTCCTTCTGCGTTATTTATTTTTTATTTAAATTTACTATGTCTGCTTTCGTATAGTGGTGCGCCAAGCTGTTTCTGGGCCACATTACCTGGTGCTGTGGTAAATCTAGAGCAGAGCCTACATGTAATCTCTCTGAGGAGACCAGATAACACACTTTATCATACTTTAAGGTGAAGTTACTCCTGGAGTGTGTTGAACAGGCCTACTTTCAACTTGTGTTGATGCAGAAAGTCCTGTTTGTTGTTTAACTACGAAAAAACACTTTTGTTTTCAGACAAATTATTCTATAATGTAAGAAGTATAGTCCTTTGGTTTAAGTTGACATGTGTATTGTGTTTGTTCATCAGGTTGTTTGCATTGGGTCCATGGCTGAACTGGAGGAGCTGACTGGAGTCAAAGTTACAGATCTGCATCGGGAAAGGTGAGCTGTGAATTAAACATGAAAAGCAGCTACTTGTTGGAATATAAATTGCGTTTTATGCTTGTACGATGGCTAGCCATAGATCCACAGTCTAAATGTGCACTGGAGTCTATGCTTGATTCAGTAGGATGCCTTTTCTTGTGACTACATTAATTGTGTGGATTTAATTTTGTAACGGTTTCCTGTCACTTGGCAGGTCTGTATAAACCAGACAGCGGTTCTGGCACACAGATCACGTGACTCTTCTGTTTGTGATTTGCTAATGGCACCTTTGGTATGTTCTTACTGTGTCTAGTTTCTAATTCCATTTGTGGTTCTTTTTTTAAAACACAGGAAAGGTTTGTCTTTACCTTGCTGGCAGTTTTCTTTGCCGACTGCAAAACATCCTCAGAGCTGACGCTGATGGTGGCGTCACTTCCTACTCTGTTTATCCGTGGGCAGCAGAGGACGTTGTCACCCTCTGCTGCCCCTCTTTTATCTGCTGGATAAAAGAAGCTATAGAGATAAGGAGACGTGGGTGTGAGACTATGAACAGAGACGATGGGGTCTACACATTGGATCGTGCATGGGACTGCATTATCGGAGAGGGGAGAGCGAGCAGCAGAGGACGTTGTCGCCCTCTGCTGCCCGCGGATAAACGGAGTAGGAAGTGACGCCACCATCAGCGTCAGCTCTGAGGATGTTTTGCAGTCGGCAAACGAAACTGTCAGCAAGGTAAAGAGAAACATTTCCTGTGTTTTAAAAAAGAACCAAAACTGGAATTTGCTAAAGACGTTCTGCCGTTTGCGTAGGTCTAACCCTCTTCAACATATGGGTGGGGAGGAGGTTGCTCTCATCAACCTCCTGTGATTTATTTATTTATTTAGCAGCCCTGAAAGATGTAAAATAATTCTGACAGCTTTTATCTTTAAACTAATTTGCATCTCAGTCTGTTACATGTTAAAAACAACAGCTGGAGTTAAGGCTGTACAATTATGTAATTGCAGGTGACACTTGAAAAGTTACAATATTGTGCAAAAGTTAATTTATTTCACTAATTCAACTTAAAGGGTTAAACTAACATATCAGATATATTCATTCCATGCAAAGCCAGATATTTCAAGTCCTTATTTGTTAAAATTGTGATGATTATGGCATACAGCTTATGAAAACCCAAATTATATATCTCAGATAATTAGAATATTGTGTAAAGGTTCAGTTTTCTAGAGTCAGTGTCACACTGTAATAAGTTAATGAATCCAATACCTCCAAAGGGTTTCTGAACCTTTAGATGGTCTCTCAGTCTAAGTTAAATTTCAGAAATAAATGGACTTTTGCACCATATTCCAATCATTGGGTTTCACCTGTATATCGCAATATTTAGTAGAAATATTGATTATGATGATGAAGAATAATGATGCAGTTTTGCAAAAGATTTGAATGAATCACAAAAACAAACCGCCTGCTGAAAATGGTTTTCTGTGGAACCAGTGAATGAGCATCAGGATGCAGGGTTATCACAGCCGAGTTTGTCTTTGCTAAATTCAACACTTCAATAATCATTAGAGGTTTTTCAACACTTCAGATCTAGTTTGAAGTAGAACATGTGCTGTTTGTGACTGTTGTCCCTGATGCCGTTTTGAGTAAAGTTTGGTATACTCCATTTTACTCTCTATGTTGCGGTATATACCTAGACTTAGAAATATAAACACCAAAAAGTATTGATCAGGCATTTTGTAATAACTAGTTAAAGTTGTGTAATAAATGTCGGATTTTGCTTCTTCCCGCTAAAGTAGAGTCAATGCACTTAAAGTCTTTCTTCGAAATTCACCCTTAATGAGTCACCCATTCAGTATTTTGCTGTCTCAAAGTTAGGGAGCTACTAAAATAATCTAAAATGTATATATTATGATTAAACATTTGTTTCCCTAATGCTGTTTGTTATTTGATTGTAACTGTGTGCACCCAACCACTCGGGAAGGCCCAGTCACACCTGAACCAAACACAACAAAGTTAATCCATAAGTCTTCTCACTGAATAGGTGGTGCTGCAGGATTATTAACCACATCATCATAAGAGGGTCTGGGGGGGTGCAGCTGGCAGGCGTAACTCTGAGCCAACTGGAGACCGTTGCTCGCTGTATCAGAATAATTTGCTGCTATTCAGCTTCATAAATCTCCACCATTATTCACCAATACTAAACTTCACACAAAAGCTTAAAACGAATCCATCTATTTCAGGCTGTACTTTTGTCACATTCAGTCTTGTGTCTCATCCATAACGCACACTTTGATCTGTCTAAAGAGCTGTGATAAACTGGACAGTGAATTATTTGCTAAAGGGATAAATAGGTCACTTTTGCCAGGCAGAATGTCAGCCACATTATTATGTGTGAAGTGGTCTGCTATTAAGGGTAAGAGCTTTAACCTTTTACTAGCTTTGTAAAACACTTTAAATGTGTTAAAATGACACAATTTATTTAGTGAAAAAGACCCTAACATTTAACTATGGGGGGATAGCTTTAAAAATTGTCTGTCAGTATTTTATTTGGATCTGTTGATCTATGGTAGCATACAAAAGACACAACACGACATTTCACTGTAGAAAGATTTTTGTTTCTGAACATAAATCAGAGAAAATCAGTTAAGGTGATTAATTAAACCTGGATCTCTAATGAAAGCTGTGATCGGAGCGTTTCTTCTCATGCCCACAATTAGCCGCATTTTTACTATTACATGTTCCAGGAAATTTCAGGGAAGGGGAAAGGACACGATGAAAATACGGTGGCTCGGTCCTCTCAGCCACTGTGTCTCCATACAAAATTGACCCTTTCAGGAATTTGCTAAGACGTCTGCATGTTGAGACCGTTTCGGCAATGAGTGATGTCACTGATCAGTACATTTGTTCTGTTGAAAGTACGATGTAATTCAATCCATTTGAGGAACGGGGAGAAGAACTGTGTGACCTAAAAAGCAGCATGCAATGACCAGAAGAAGCTCAGTTTGTAGGAGACCTTGCACTGCAAGCCATCCTCTATATATATAAATACAAATATAAAGTCTGGCCACGACTCACTGAAAGAACTTAGTCGTGGGGCAGAGACAACAGTTGTCTTTCAAATCGCCTCTGCTTAAAATGCACCATACCTATATCTGCTCATGTCTCAAAGAAAAGCCCAAGTCTACACCATCCAAAGTTGATGCCAAAGCCGTTTCAAACAAGCGCCATTTCTGAGATGACGCCATCTTTGTAGTTATTCACCATCACAGCTGTGGTGCTAAAGCCTAATTTATGCTTGTCCGTCTCCGTCAGTACGGAGACACGCAATGCCATAATCCGTTGTTGCGTGGGATCTCCTACAGACACGCAGAGATGGACAGAGTTGAGCCCACTTCTAAACATCCGTTTAACAAGATGGAGAGCACAAGCTTGTGATTGGCCAGGATGCCCCTTCCTTTAAATTTGAAGCATCTCGTGATTTCCATCTTGAGAGGCGCTATATAAAATATTGTTTCTTCTTCTTCTTTTTCGTCAACAACACCTTTTTTCAGCATTGGGACTTTAGAAACAGTGATTTTAAAGCAGCTTCAACACTGCTTTTTGTCCTTTCCTTCCATTCCCCTTCCAATTATCCAAATGCCGAGTGTTTAGTGATGTCTCCCTATGTCATTTCCTACTAAGTACTCGACTCAACCTCCATTTATGTAGCACCTTACAGAAATGAATGATGCCACCAAAATGCTATACAGGAATCTAATACAAACAGATATAACCAACAGAAAAAGCACAGATTACAATGTAAATTCATAGTAAAATGATAGCAACAGCTAAACCACAGAGTTACAACTAATCAGCATGAGTTAACCACAAGTCCCACCCAGCGACTCTACCAGACCTTTCTGAGTACAAGCGCCAGTTCGGGTACTCAGTTGGTGCCTAAAATAGCACAGAAATTGGTCCTTACGGGCACATGCCGAAAAGTCACAAGTGAACCCTCTCAGGCTCAAAATAAGTTTTGATATAAGGACGAACAACTAAGTCCTTCAGGGGTACTTCTGAGTTAAAAAGTGCTCATGAAATTCGTATGTGGAGTAACCAGGTAGCTGGGTTTTAACGTTGCAAATCTGCAACGCCTGCCTCCAGAGGGTTAATAGTAAAACTTTTATTGCCTGTAATTGTCTCACCAACTTTCCTCTTACTTTTTTCACTTTGTGTTTCCTCTGTCCAGCATTGACAATCTGACAATCCCATCACGTCGCGGTAAAGGCGTGCTGCGGAGGGTTTCGGAGGTGTTCGACTGCTGGTTTGAGAGCGGCAGCATGCCTTACGCTCAGGTCCACTACCCATTCGAAAATAGGAAGGAGTTTGAGGACAGTTTCCCAGCAGACTTCATCGCTGAAGGGATTGACCAGACCAGAGGCTGGTAAACTGTGTTTGATTAAGTCTGAAGAGGAGAGTCAGGAGGGGCCATAGATGGAATAGAGTGATAGATGAGTGGAGACATACTCATGATAATGATGAGAGAGCAGCTGAGAATGAGCTATGCTTTGTCCTCTGACTGACTCTGTAGGTTCTACACCCTGCTGGTCCTCTCCACGGCACTGTTTGGAAAACCGCCCTTCAAGAACGTCATTGTTAATGGACTGGTGCTCGCCAGGTCAGACCTAAAAACATGTGAACATTTGAAACTCTTTGCTTCTAAACTAAACTAAACTTTACAGCATATCCATGTTATTAATAACTTAAAATATCAAGTAATTACATTAAGTTCATAAACTTGGGGGAGCATTGGTTATATTGCAGAGTGCATGGCTCCAAAATGGAGTGGGATTTTTCACAAGTAAAGTCGTGATGCTAAAGGTTGTATGATGGACCTGGTATTCTCACATATGACATAATAATAACAAGCCCTGTTTATTGTAATAGCAGTGTGATTTAATTCAGTTTGCTTGTTAGGAATGTGTTCATATGATCTGGCCACTGGAGTGTAATGTGGAAATTGAAGCTCTACTACAAGTTAGTGGCAGGCTTCAGAATACGCTCTAATACCAGCCTGTTCCATTTAAACTGATAGGTGCTGACATTTTCTCCATTACATACATATCAGTTCATGTTGCTTTTTATTCAGCTCTTGTTGTTAAAACATAAATTAATAACTGTAATAGTAATAAACCTCTCAGTGTTAAAGAGATCCTGTACAACACAGTCTTTCCTCCTCAGTCCTGAGGTCTGAATGTAGTTTTGTGCTCATGGGTTTGCTGACCTGGAAGGACTTGACTAATTTAAGTACCAAGTAGCACAGTTCCTTTCCAACATGCTCTTTGGTGCATGAACGCGTGATGATGTCTATTAATGTCTTTGCTTGTTTTATTCCTGCAGTGATGGGCAGAAGATGAGCAAGCGCAAGAAGAACTACCCAGATCCAGGGCTGATTGTGCAAAACTATGGAGCCGATGCCCTCAGGTCAAATTTGTACTTGAATGTTGTGTGTGTGTGTGCGCGCGTGCGTGCGTGCGTGCGTGTGCGTACATGGCCTCGTTATTTGCATTGCAGCTTTAGAAGACTTTATTTCTTTTAAACACAAAACATGTAGCATTTAAAAAATACATCAGATAATCGGCACAATACATGCACGCTGTCATGCATGCCACACATTTTAGTACATTCTCCCTTTTGCTCTGAGCAATCAGAGTGCTATGGACATATGGCCTTATAAATAAACAACTATGTAGCTGCACCATATGTTCATACAGTGGGGCAAAAAAGTATTTAGTCAGCCACCGATTGTGCAAGTTCTCCCACTTAAAATGATGACAGAGGTCAGTAATTTTCATCATAGGTACACTTCAACTGTGAGAGACAGAATGTGAAAAAAAAAATCCATGAATTCACATGGCAGGATTTTTAAAGAATTTATTTGTAAATCAGGGTGGAAAATAAGTATTTAGTAAATAACAAAAATTCAACTCAATACTTTGTAACATAACCTTTGTTGGCAATAACAGAGGTCAAACGATTACTATAGGTCTTTACCAGGTTTGCACACACAGTAGCTGGTTCTTTGGCCCGTTCCTCCATGCAGATCTTCTCGAGAGCAGTGAAGTTTTGGGGCTGTCGCCGAGCAACACGGACTTTCAACTCCCTCCACAGATTTTCTATGGGGTTGAGGTCTGGAGACTGGCTAGGCCACTCCAGGACTTTCAAATGCTTCTTACGGAGCCACTCCTTTGTTGCCCGGGCGGTGTGTTTGGGATCATTGTCGTGTAGGAAGACCCAGCCACGTTTCATCTTCAAAGCTCTCACTGATGGAAGGAGGTTTTGGCTCAGAATCTCACGATACATGGCCCCATTCATTCTTTCCTTAACGTGGATCAGTCGTCCTGTCCCCTTAGCAGAAAAACAGCCCCAAAGCATGATGTTCCCACCCCCATGCTTCACAGTAGGTATGGTGTTCTTGGGATGCAACTCAGTATTCTTCTTCCTCCAAACACGATGAGTTGAGTTTATACCAAAAAGTTCTACTTTGGTTTCATACACATGACATTCTCCCAATCTTCTGCTGTATCATCCATGTGCTCTCTGGCAAACTTCGGACGGGCCTGGACATGCACTGGCTTCAGCAGCGGAACACGTCTGGCACTGCAGGATTTGATTCCCTGCCGTTGTAGTGTGTTACTGATGGTGACCTTTGTTACTGTGGTCCCAGCTCTGCAGGTCATTCACCAGGTCCCCCGTGTGGTTCTGGGATTCTTGCTCACCGTTCTCATGATCATTTTGACCCCACGGGATGAGATCTTGTGTGGAGCCCCAGATCGAGGGAGATTATCAGTGGTCTTGTATGTCTTCCATTTTCTGATAATTGCTCCCACAGTTGATTTTTTCTCACCAAGCTGCTTGCCTATTGTAGATTCACTCTTCCCAGTCTGGTGCAGGTCTACAATTCTTTTCCTGGTGTCCTTCGAAAGCTCTTTGGTCTTGGCCATAGTGGAGTTTGGAGTCTGACTGTTCGAGGCTGTGGACAGGTGTCTTTTATACAGATAATGTTTTCAAACAGGTGCCATTAATACAGGTAACGAGTGGAGGACAGAAAAGCTTCTTAAAGAAGATGTTACAGGTCTGTGAGAGCCAGAGATTTTCCTTGAGTGACCAAATACTTATTTTCCACCCTGGTTTACAAATAAATTCTTTAAAAATCCTGCCATGTGAATGCATGGAATTTTTTTCACATTCTGTCTCTCACAGTTGAAGTGTACCTATGATGTAAATTACTGACCTCTGTCATCATTTTAAGTGGGAGAACTTGCACAATCGGTGGCTGACTAAATACTTTTTTGCCCCACTGTGTATGTATATATATATATATTTCAAGATGAAGAAACTGCTAAATTAAAAAAAGAAGAAGGCAACAATCTGTCCTTATTCCCGGCTCCTCAATCATTTATTTTATTTATTTATTTCCTGAAAAGCCACTTATGGTACGCTCATTATGCTGAGTTGAGCAGCCTGAGCATGTAATAGACCAAAGGCTACTCTGCAAGGTTTCTCTGTCACATCAGTATACTGTAACCTTTACCTGATTTACAGTCCCTTGTGTATAATTTAGTGCTTGATGGCTTTGCCTATTCAGGCCTTTATTTTAAACTTATGTCAGAGTTGATGCTCAATAAACCAGTTAAAGGTAATTACATGAAGTTTGTTTGTTTTAACTTTCATGGATTAGAGGCAAAACAAGATGAGTTGGTAAAATCACATTATCTTAAAATTGTCTTCAGCCGTCGGGTTAAAAGTTATTGGTTCACTTATATATGCAACCTCATTTAAAATCACTATATATATATGTACAGTGATCCCTCGTTTATCGCGGTAGATGCGTTCCAGACCTGGCCGCGATAGGTGAAAATCCGCGAAGTAGGGACACCATATTTACAGTACAGTGTCAGAACCCAAGTTCCCAGGCCAGCCTCTTCCAGCTAGCCGGCCTCCACTATGGACCACAACTCCCAGCATGCCCCTCGCGGGGATTCCCTCCACGCCGCACCTACGTCACGGCTATAAACGGAAGTCGCCTTTCCAGCTCACCACTCAGTCATCGTTTCTTCAGATTCATGATCAGAGTTTCCAACCTACCGATCCATCCCACGAACTTTCAGCTCATAGTAAGTTATCTTACTTACTTCTGGAAAGCCTGGCATTTCCGTGTCACTTCGTTGACGCTCGAACGCTCGGGGGTTTCCTAGATCGTGAGCCGGCGTTTCACCGACGCTCTCACTTCCGCGTCTGTGAAACCACGCTCCCTACAAGCTCAACTCCCGAATCCAGCCGACCAGTCTGACATACAGTACTATATTGAATTATCGTATGATCACATTCTCTTTTTGTGGGTAAAACTCAAGAAAATTTTTTTTACTTGTTTTTTTTTTATAGTTTTATTTCAAAAAGTGCATTTTATGATGAAATTGATGAAAAAAAACCAGGAATTTCTTGATATTTCTCATAGAAAAATACCGCAAATCGGCGAATTTCCCTTGAATAAGGCTCCAAAGAAAAAATCCGCAAAGTCGTGAATCCGCGATAAACGAACCGTGAAGTAGCGAGGGATCACTGTATATATATACAGTATATATATATATATATATATATATATATATATATATATATATATATATCCATCCATCCATCCATTTTCATCCGCTTATCCGGTGTCAGGTCGCGGGGGCAGTAGCCTAAGTTCAGAGGCCCAGACTTCCCTCTCCCCAGCCACTTGTGCCAGCTCCTCCGGGGGAATCCCAAGGCGTTCCCTGGCCAGGTGAGAGACATAGTCCCCCCAATGTGTCCTGGGCCTCCTCCCGATTGTACATGCCCGGAAAACCTCACCAGGGAGGCGTCCAGGAGGCATCCTGACCAGATGCCGGAGTCACCTCAACTGACTCCTCTTGATGTGGAGGAGCAGCGGGTGTACTCCGAGCCCCTCCCGGAAGACTGAGCTTCTCACCCTATCTCTAAGGGAGAGCCCAGCCACTCTTCGGAGAAAACTCATTTCGGCCGCTTGTTTCCGCGATCTCTTTCTTTCGGTCACTACCCAAAGCTCATGACCATAGGTGAGGATAGGAACGTAGATCGACCGGTAAATTGAGAGCTTCGCCTTCTGACTCAGCTCTCTCTTCACCACGACAGACCGGTACAACACCCGCATCACTGCAGATGCAGCACCAGTCCACCTATCGATCTCATGCTCCAGTTTTCCCTCACTCATAAATAAGACCCCGAGATACTTAAACTCCTCCACTTGGGACAGGACCTCATCCCTGACCCGGAGAAGACATTCTACCCTTTTCTGAATCAAGAACGATCGGTCTCCGATTTAGAGGAGCTGATTCTCATCCCAGCCGCTTCACTCACTAACTCTCTCTCTCTCTCTCTCTCTCTCTCTCTCTCTCTCTCTCTCTCTCTCTCTCTCTTATATATATATATATATATATATATATATAAATTGTTTTTTTTTTGTTCTTTTGAAGCTCCTTGTGATTTTTATCTTGAGAGGAGCTATATAAAAAATCATTTTGTTTATTCTTATAAACAACCATGTTTTCCTTGTGCCTTTGTTTAGATTGTATCTCATCAACTCACCTGTGGTGCGAGCGGAGAACCTACGATTCAAAGAGGAAGGTGTGCGAGACGTGTTGAAGGACGTCTTCTTGCCGTGGTACAACGCCTATCGCTTCCTGGTGCAGAATGTTCAGAGATTGGAAAAGGTATATTTGTAAAATAAATAAATAAATAAAACTTTACACAATTGTTCTTCTCCAACTATTTATATTCTCAAGCCCATAGTTCTATATGAAAAAAGCAAACCATCGCTTGAATATCACATTAAAAAAGCTATTTGACTTCATCTGAATGTGTTCGTATTATTTTTACTGTCTAGTGAAAGGAATCAGACCAAAAATGATCATTTCTTTGCAAATTTGATGAAAAGGATTTTTCCACTTTTCAGAACTAAAATTCATTTATTTTTCCTTTTGTTAAAAATTTGATTAAAATCATTAGGAGCAAAAGGCTGAAATATGTTTCCCTCCTTAAATATTTGTGTCGATGCTACTTTAAATAGACAAAATATACAATTACTGTAATGAGATTACATTAGTGATGAACTGTGCTGAACATATAAACAATTGTTGTGTTTGCAATGATTATCCAGGAGGATAAGATCCAGTTCCTGTACAACGAGAACACGGTGAAGCAGAGCGACAACATTATGGACAAGTGGATCCAGTCGTTCACACAGTCTCTCATTCAGTTCTTCAAGGCTGAGATGAACGGTGACACATTCTGTCTCTCTCTTTTTAATTATTGTCATTTTTAGAAATGTTTCTTCACCTCCTCCTGCTATTCTCGGCTACAGTCAGAAGATGTTCTCAGTTAAATAAATACTTGTTAAGCTTTAGTAACATGAAATATGTCTGAGCCTGCAACCAGATCATGCTTTATTCTTTGGAGCGTAATTCGACAGTTGGTTCTGGTTGCAGCTTACCGCTTGTACACGGTCGTGCCTCGCCTGGTCAAGTTTGTGGACATGCTCACCAACTGGTACGTCAGGACCAACAGGCGCCGTCTGAAGGTGAGAAAACAGCTCCAAAATTAACTCCTGATTGAAATGTATCACTAGATCCATTTCGTATCTGAGAATTTTTCTCTGGTGAAACATAAATGTAATAAGTACTGAAGAGATAGTTAGTAGATTTGTTGTTTTATGGAGTAAATTGTGTTGATTAGTGATTTTGTGGCTGTCCTTCAGTCGTTGTGTTGACTTTGACTGTGGGGTGCGTAGCAAGTGTCTGCAGTGGAGTCTTTATATTTTTATTTCTCTTGAGGGGAGAGAACTTATGGATGTGTTTGTGATCCTTGTAGGGTGAGCGTGGCACTGAGGACTGCCTGTGGGCGCTGGAAACCCTCTTCAGCGTTCTGTTCTCCATGTGCAGGCTGATGGTGAGTCATTGGGTTTCAGGTGAAACCAAGACAGAAAGGGGATGGGGGTGCAAAAACTGAAATTGTGTTATGAATTATGCACGAGCAGTAGGAGCTTATATTCACAACACATTGAAGGTGTTTGCATGTGAGCTATGAGGCACTTAGCCTAACCCAGGTCAGTACAGATCAGCTGTGATCTTTGCAAATAAATTAGCTTGGGTTTAAATCCAGTAGTCCAATTAGAAAAATATTCACAACTTTACAGTTTGTTTAAAAATTTACACTTATTAATGAAAAGATGTACAAAAAAAATCTTTCAGACCTTTTATGTTAAAAAATGTAAATTTTATCTCTGTTCTTCCTTTCTCTGCCTGCCTTCATCTTTCCTTCTCCTCAGGCTCCTTTCACACCCTTCATTACAGAAATGATGTACCAAAATCTGCGTCACCTCATTGACCCCGCCTCTGTTGAAGAAAAGGACACCAACAGCATCCACTATCTCATGCTGCCACAAGTCAGGTGAGATACATTCATTCAGTAAAGCGTCGCTCAACCTCTGACCTGTAAAGTTTTCCTAAAACCACTTCAAGTATGTTTTAGATAGCAATAAAAATAACCAAAAAAATAAATCACCAAGAAAGATTTATATACTAATATTTTTACTTTTACTTTCTAGTCTGCTATTCTTTATTATTTTATGGTTTGTCAGTCATTCAGGGGAACAAAATAAAACATGTTTCTCTTCTAAAGGACCTTGACACGTGATGTTGTTTCTGTATTAACAAGCAGACAGAAGTTAATAATAATAATAATTATCACTCCTCATTTAGTTCTGTCTGTCATGGATTCTCTTTCTTACTTCCTTTTCCGCTCACATCTGTTCACCTTTTTGGTTATTTATTGTCCTGGTCAAGGACTTTTCAGCAGGTTGAATTCTCGCTCAAACTGGTTGTCAACAGAATGAATATAATGGAGGTCATGGGGGTTTAAATGGCTGTTCTTTCCACACAGCACTGTGCAGCATTCATATCACACTCCCCTGGTGCGTCCCCTTTTCTCACTGGAGACCCACTCCTTATTTAGAGCCTAATCAGTGTCAGCCACAGTGTGTGGCCTTACTTCTCTACAGTTGTACCACACTCAAAATTTGCCAGAGTGGAAGATTTTGAAGCTTAAGGTACCCCATTGGTTTACAGTATTATAGTTTCTGACTGTCAGCACTTATTTTTATTATTTATTTTTTTTACACATTTTACTGCCTTACATCCTCGTTCCTGCAGATACTCATGTCTGTGTACTTGCTCATCAGTTCTAAGAAATTTAGAAATGCTTCAAATGATCATTTAAGTGTTATGTTTGTCACTGACCAGCATTCAGCTTGAATCATTTTTATTACTACTATTACAACCGCAGCTATATAGCAAAAGGGCAGCTATATAGCTTGTCAGGTTGGTCTAGCCACGCTCCATTGTAGCCTCAGCAGGCCACCATTGGCTTGAACACTTTTAGGCCTGGCCAATCGTAGCACTCTGTTTGTAAAGAGATGTCGAGCGTGCTTAGTGCCAGAGCTGTGTCTTACAAAAACTACAAAGATGGCGTCGGCTCAGGCTCATCACCTTTGGATGATTTAGACTTTGGCTTTTCTTTTACAGTTGAGCAGATGGAGGTATTTAGTTCCTTTATTTTGAAAAAGGACTGTGTGTACGGCGGACTGTCATGTTGACTGGTATTGCAGCAATTAATGCGTCATGTTATTTGTTTTCCTGACTAGACAACACGTTGTCCAATTACGTGCAGAAGCTGTACCGTAGGTTCTGCGCCACAATTGAGCTCTGTCTATGGGTTGTGGCTTGACTATGTATTGACAAATATATAGGATGGCTGCTTGGCTTCTTTTTATAGGGTGGGATCTAAATAGCTGCTTTACATGAATCCAAAGGCAGTCACAACCTCTGATCAGGTCACCCCCTGCACCCACAGCTCACACTCTTCACTGACACTGCCCTGATTGTCGGCCATCCAGAACAGACCTGCCTGAAATACGGTTTCATCTCCCTCACATAATTTACTTCCCTAAGATATGTGGCTTGGTGGGGGATCTGTTTTGAAATGAGGGGGACAGATTCCTAGTTGTCTAAACTAATTTTGCCCTTTTTGAACTAACAAGGAATAGTTCTGACATGAATAATAACCCATATTTGGGATTTTTGCTGTAGAAACAAAGCTTGAATTATGGTTCATATAATCTCTCCTGTCAGTGCTGCAGCTTTATGAGCGGCTTGTCCTTCCTGCTATCAGACGGGACTGCTTCACCCACCTCCCGAAGGTCAGCCACCAATCAGGGGGGAGAGCAGCTGCTCCAGTCTTCTCGTTTAGTGATTGGATGTCCCTGGGATCTCTTCCTTCTTTAGTCTGTGTTTCCACATGAAGGAGCATGCAGAATGAGTAAATGAAAGAGTTGAACCATGTCTGTTTTAATTTTAAAGGCTCCATATTATGCTATTTTAAACCTTTCAGAGCAAAGGTAGGCACAATAGATGATAAAATATTACCGTTGGCACTATTGAGATGCCATTTATCTTAAATAATGAGTTATTTTTGTCCGCCTGGATTTCTACCCGGAAATAAAACGCTGCATTTCATTGTAACTCCGCCCACGCCCGCTCTGACAAAATGTGCCTACAGCATCATCTTAGACAAGTCAGTTGCTGTATTGGCTATGGTAATCCAGTGGTGAAGGCATCTCCCTGCCATCCCAGTTTGGCCATGTGGTGATGTGGGCTTGACCGCTGGTGGTGTCGGCAGTGATTCATGTAGCTAGCTGAAGCAGATTTCATGTTTTTATATTTTAGTTTTATTGATTATTTCCTGCAAAATATTTTGTGCCTCTAAAGAAATGAAGTGACTCCTCAGACCGGGATGCGAACTTGCACAAGACTACATGCAAGTCTAGCGCTCAAACCACTAGACTACCAAGTCTGCTTCATGACACCAGTTACCTAAGCTGGCCCGCTGAGACAGGTTTCAGACCAAAGACTAGCTTTTAGGAGAGGAGCAGGGCCTGATGATGAGACTAGTTTCCATTGACACCAAGATTTTCAAAGGAAAGGCTACAGATTTTCAAAGTAAAACTCTAATTTGCAGCCGAAACAGGAAAATGCATGAATGCAGCAAATTTTTTTTTTTTTTATCACAAAGTAAAATGCACCACAAAGTGGATTTTTCATGATATGGCCCTTTTAACAGAGGGGAGACCTCGTCATTCCTTATTAGTGGATTTTTCTTGCAAATGATTAACAATTCTGAAACACCCTTGTATCTGTACGTAGTTATCTTCTGTGCTGCAGAAGACCCATTTGAATTTCTTCTTTTCTGTTAATTAGAAGGTGAGGATTATCAGTCATTTACTTTACCAATTGAGCAAACTCCTGTCTGGGCCTGAAGTTGTACGTTTTACTGATAAAACAAAATTGTAGAAGATATCCCTTCTGTTGTGACGTGAGGTGTAGATGTATCAAGACAAAAACCAGCCAGAACTGTAATGTGGATGTGGTATCGCTGTTTTTTACACGAGAAACTCAGTGCATCCTGTTTTATTTAAAAACATCTTTCTTACTTTTTTTAGGGAGAGTTTGATCGACAAGCGTATTGAACGTGCTGTCTCTCAGATGCAGTCAGTGATTGAGCTGGGCAGAGTGATCAGAGACAGGAAGACCCTGCCCGTCAAGGTAGATCACCAGCCATTCATTTTACACACCTTGCTGGAAGGTGCCGTGAGAATACTGTAATAGGAGACTAAATGTAAGGTTTAAAATAACAACCTGAGGTTGTTTACTTTTTAGGTTCATGGGTGCCTTTTGAGCCTTGTTTTATATAATTTATCTGAGAAATCAACATTTATGTTCATGTTTTGTCGACCTATACCTAAAAAAAAAGAAAAAACAATTTAACTAAGCATTCTTGATGTATCGGTACGGTCGATGTTGCTAATCTTTAACCGATCTGTTCCATATTGGTCTGAAAAGTGAATCTGGGCTGACATCGAGTCAGTCCATCTTGTTGCAGTTTATATGTACACACACACACACACACACACACACACAAATTCTGAATCACTGCAGTTCATTGTTTTAGCACTTTGGCGTGTGTTTCAGTACCCACTGAAGGAGGTAGTGGTTATCCACCAGGACCCAGAAGCTCTGGAAGACATCCAGTCTCTGCAGAAATACATCCTTGAAGTAAGTAACTCTGTAGGAACACGCATTGCCAGATATTTTTTTCTCCCTTCCTCATAAAGTGCTTTGCAGCAATTTGTTTTTGATGATTTGCTTTGTGCTGATAGATACTGTTGAACATGCAATTTATGAAAATAAAAAACCATCAAGAATCGTGTTCCTGTTTCAAAACCACTTCAGTTTGTTGAATGTGTAGATGGGGAGAACATCAGAGGGAAGTGCATCTTTACACACTTTTCTGCTCAGATGTAATTGATATTTATACATCTGCTTTGTTTGGATATTTTACATTTAACCCCATTTTATATGGCAACATTTTAAATGCTGACAGAAACTGGTTTTCTGGTTTGTATCTAGCAGAAGTAAGTATCTCGTTTTTATTGTGTTGCATTTGTTACAACATTTCTAAGTATTTATTTATTTATTTATCCACTCAACAAAAAAGTCAGTTTCAAACATCGAACAGACTCATCAGTTGCAGGAAAAGTTTAAATGGGCATCACATTGTGGCCTGTATTTGTATAGCGCCTTCTAAGGGTTCTACAACCCCCCCAAGGTGCTTTGCAACACAATCAGTTATTCACCCGTTCACACAGTGGTGATGATGAGCTACGATGTAGCTACAGCTGCCCTGGGATGCACTGACGGAGGTGAGGCCTGCCATGAACTGACACCACCAGTACCTCCGACCACCTCCAGCAGGCAAGGCGGGTTAAGCGTCTTGCCCAAGGACACAACAGCAGCATTCTCACTGGATGTGTCTTGGGAGCATCTGGCCCGAGTTTTCCGATTAAAGTCAGTCCTAAAATGTTCAAATATTGTCAGTTTTTTAGTATCACGATATTCCATATTGTCTTCCCTGTATTGTTGAATTTAACATTCCCCGATCCTTGCCAATGCACACCCCTAATGTAAACATATACATATATACATAAGTAAATATATTTAAGTATATATTTAGTTCCCTGCAAATACAGGATGCTGTAGTAGAGGATTTGCATCAGTCAGCTCTTCAGTGACACTGTTTACATGCTGAACTGTTTCTCTTGTGGCCAAACATGTTAAGAAGGAAGAGGTCAGTCATAAAACTGGAGCTTGCAGTTCTTGCTTCTGAATTTGAGCTATGGTCAGCTTTCCTTCACTTGACATGCCTGCTGGTGTCTTCTCTGATGGCTGTCTCCACTGAGCTCAAGATGCTCAGTAGAATATCGAATGAATCACTGTTTGTGCCGACAGAAGCCTCAGTCCATTGTAATGCACCAGTATACTGTATGTTGCCACTTTCCAAGTAATTTCAAACACAATACTATATTTACTCTGAAAATAAGCAGGTTATTTATGTGAAATCAGTGCTTTGACTGAATCCTGTAGCCAGCTCAGATTTTTTCAACCCACACTGCCTTTATCACTCAGTCTGTTGCTCGCTGTCAAAAAGTTAACTATGCCAGAACTCTGCCTCAACATGAACAGTGTGATTGACTGAAAGGAGGAGTGGATGGCGAGCCTCTCAGTAAAGTTGTTTTTAGTATTTCTATTGTTTCACCAGATTCTATTGTATCACATATTTTGCTGCATTTAGGCTGAAGAAGTCAATGTTGACTGAGCTTACTGAGGATTTCAAGATCAGCTTTTATGGTTTTTCTTTTGCTCCTGGGTAAATTTGTAGTTTTGGGTCACATGGCATATCATATTTTAAATAAAAAGTCACTCATCAAGATCAACAAAAGAACACTCCTGCATCACCACTGACAGGTGTCTTATTTGTACTTTAACTGTCTTTTATGATATACAGGATATATAGTCTGACTTTAAAATGTTTTTTCCCATCCCATAGGAGCTAAATGTGCGACAGCTGACATTTTCAACTGACAAGGACAAGTACGGTATCCGCCTAAGAGCCGAGCCAGACCACATGGTGCTGGGCAAGAGATTAAAGGGCGCCTTCAAGTCTGTCACTGCTTCTATCAAGAAGCTCACCAGTGAGCAACTAGAAGTCTTCCAGAAGACAGGTATTACTGAACAAAGACAGGCTTACTTACACGGATCTTTCCATTTCAGGAGCTACATGCACATTCGCTCTTTGATACTAATGTTTTTGCTACAATAACCTAAAAATCAAAAAGGATTTTTAAATATTTTAAATATCTATTTTACCTTCTCATGAGAGCTAAGGTATTAGCAGTGGGAAGCTGTTCATTTCATAGTTAAAGTCCTTGTTTTTTCCAGTGAGGACACAGAAATTCTTCATGTCATTTTGATAAATGTTTGTGATTTATTTCCAGAACACCTTAAAGATGAAAAACATGTTTTATGATTATTTCTGATAAGAGTCAGTCCCTCTGAGTTAGTCATGCAGACTGAACATCAAAATAGTCTCCTACACCTATCTCCTGTGTTAGCTTCTGATAGATAATAAACAGTGACAATGTAGGATTTGAAAATCCTGACAGATCTACGTCACACTGTCACTTAACATTCATGGACTCACCCATCTTGACTTTTGACGGGGAAGGCTGTTGTTGGTTTAGCGTGCAGGAAACAGCAGAGAACATCTCTGCTAGTAGAAGCTAACTATTAGCATTAGCAGCTCCACCACATGGCAGAACTCCTTCAGGTTTGTGATATTTGTGGAGATAAAACATCAAAGTTGCAGAGCAAACAGCGTAAGTGGTAGAGTCACGGTGCTGTTGTTCGATCCGAGGAGAGAGGTCAAAATATCAGAAAATAAGTGTCTGCTGTCTGAAGCTACTTTCTCCTCCAGCTGACTTGTACTTCCTGAAACAGGAGTATCTGAGCTTTTCCCCCTGAGTACGACCTACAAGGCAGTCATCCTACTAGACCACTGCAAACGTATTGATTAAATGAGTGAACCACATCTTTAAAGGGCTTTTGTGAGGTGATATATGGACGACTCATGTTCATCCACTGTCTAAAACCAACCATAAACATTTCAAGTGAATGCATTTTTTTTATTCTATAACTTTTACAATAACTGTAGACATTTGTTTTTTTTACACTAAAAGCCTGACCATGGTGGAACGCAGCTCTGGTGGCTTGTAATGCATTCTGTGTGAAACATAAATGTGATGATGTGTAAAAAGCTACACCGTAACATTCTCTTTAACATCTATTATTTTTTGTAGTTTAGGATTATTTTAGATGTGCAAGTTTGCTCCCCGATTCTCCACAATGAAGACCCAACCCCCTTTCTTTAGGCTTCCCCCTAGAGTAACAGAATCTGATGGTCACAGAAATTGTATAACACAGCTCTGACACATTGAATACTGCAAGCAACCATAAAAACATAACTTCATCTTACATTTTCGACCCTCTGTTAGCAACTTTTCTGTTACAATTCCTAATGTAACACACTCACGTAACTCATAAAAAAATGTTGTAGGTTTATTACATACTGGAAAATGTTTTGCCATATTGCCTGAAATGCTCATGTACTAATGGCAACCAATAAATAAATGTTTCATCAAAAGTTTTAAATGGCTCTGAAATGCACAATCCTGGAAAAACTTGATCCAATCCAGTGCTGGCCCCTTAGCTTTATTATTTTATCATAAACTATCCATGGATCTGCTCCTCTGAATGTCACCCAGCTGTACAGAACACCCTCTGTGATTCTGTGATTCTAGGGGGAAGCCTGATTTGTAATTTTATTTAATGTAGCTTTCTTGAACGACTTTCTATACCTTTAATTTCAAAATCACATTAGCTCAATGCCACCACGAATCTGAGAAAAACCCACAAACAACGGGATGAAATATAACCCATCCAGAACCTCCTTCCACTCACTCTGCTTCAGAGACAGCTACACACACACACACACACACACACACACACACATTGCTCTGCCAGCTAACAGAGATCAGGCAGCACCCAGAGACAACAGGTCCGTCACTTAAACATTTCTCAACAAGAACCGAACCAGATAAACAGAAAGTATGAAAGGAATATTTTGTCCTTTTCACTCTGCAGTCCAGCTCAGGTTTTGCCTCCTGTTCAGCTGCTCTAAGTGAAGAATGTGTGATTTGTGCACATAGAGGGTATTGTGCAAAGGGGGAAGGGACGGTCCAAGAGCAGTTTGATGGATGGATCAGGATCCAGTCATTAAGAACTGGAAGCTCACAATGATTGAAATAGGTTTTTCCAGGATTTTTCATTTCAGAGGTGTTTGAAAATTATTCCTTTCTTTGACAAAACATTTAATTCATTTGTTGCCATCAGATGTGTAGAGCATTCCAAACAATATGGTCAAAACTCCACCTTTAAGGTCTTCCATAAAGTATTGGAACGATTGGGTCTATCGGACCTTCCTGGAGATCAGTTGCTGTATGTATCTATAAATGGCTAAATCAGTCACTTCCCCTTAATGGAGATCTTTCCCCAATCCGATTGCTGTGTTGCCATTTTTTGTTGTGTGTTTTCCAGTTACAGCATTCTAAGTTTACATTGAACTGAGTCCAAAAAAATGTTGTTTCTAATAACAGTTTAATCTTAAAAAGATGGGAAAATTTGTCTCCGGTTTAAAAATATTACAATTTCATTTTAATTTGGGGGATAATGATGTTGCTTATCAGATAATGAGCAATTGAAGAGCAGTAGAGCAGCCATATAATATAAACAGTAAATCCTTAAAACACACACACACACACACACACACACACACACACACACACACACACACACACAGTCAGTTTATCCTCAGAATGCAATCAGAGCTCTGCTTAGGATCAAAGCAGGTCAAGGTATCTTGTCTCTCCGATTATAGAAAGACGAGGAGAGCCCGTAGAGTCTCAGGGGAACAGTACAGCAGAGGTCAGCTGGGCTATGGGAACTTCAGATTTCCAATCACTTGGATGTTTGAAGTCAGGCCAGATGGAGGAAAAAATGAGCAAGGATGTAGGAAGAAAAGAGAAGGATCTTGCAGAAAGAAATGATGAAAAAGGAAAATACACAGACGAAAATGTGTACAGCGTCATTGGGTTAAAACACAAATGTTTTAAAGCATGAACATTAGAGTTGCAGTCAAGTATTTATTGATGATTATTCTAAAATAGAATTTCACTTTTACTGATTTTAAAACATTTTCCAGCTTAGATCACAGGGATAGGAGTCTAGCAGCAATAACCGTGTAAGTCCCTACTTGTACCTTTGACCCCAATATGTCTGATAAGGTGGAAGAAAAGAGGTTAAGGCAGAAGATTGAATAAGGCCAAGAAGGAAACCAAAGCGTGGAAATCTCAGATGAAAGAGAAGCAGTGAGACTGTTTGATTCAGCCTCCGGGGGTGCAGGAGCAAAGAGGACAGTGTAACATGGTCATGGTTGTTAGTTAGAACACAGGACGTGGCTAATTGCTGCTCCGGGCTATATAGTGTTGCTATAGGTAGACAGTTTTCTATGTTGTTTTAGAGACTTTGCATACTAAAGACTCAGTTAAAGATATTTTTAAAGATTTTTACAAATACAGAGCCACATTTTTTAAATACTACTTTAATCTAAATATGCACTTTCTGTTTATCATACTGAGTTTGAGTAAAAGTAAGTCTTATCTGTATTGGCTTGGGGAAAACACGTTTTAATGGTCTGATTAGTCCTTCCTAGACAGAATTCCATTCATCACAATTAATCCCTTTGGTAAACACGTTGAATCTTGTGCTGCTGCTGTCTGGTTAAATTAAAGGATCAATCGTGGTGGACGGCCAAGAGCTCCACGAGGAAGACCTGAGGCTGATGTACACCTTCGATCAGACCTCTGGCTCTACTGCACAGTACGAAGCTCACTCTGATGCACAGGTACGTTCGTAACAAAAACCCAAGGTGATGACTCTGAATGACTTGCAAAACCTTTATCACCTCTTGATGCTGTAGCATAGTGAAACGATGAATAGGCATTGATCCTCCTGCCCAGCCCCTCTCCTGTCTGCTACATTAACTTCACATGCTGGGTGTTTTGAGCTACTAAATGTAACTGATCTTTAAAAAAGTAGGGAAAATGCTGCTGCTGCACCAAGCTGCCATATACTGTAAAATGCATTTATATGTCACTGCTGTGAGTGTGTGATGTATGAAATCATTTCACGGTTAAGTGGAAAGTGGCACGTATGCGTCTCCCACAGGCCCTTTCTAATCAGTGCTCTTCCAACCGTATACACACCACACGGCTGCACCTTAATACCACTGTACTGAGCCGGCTTTTAATTCTGTCTCCTGCTCAAACGGACTCTCTAGCTTCCATCTGTCTGCATCTCTGTTCCCTCTCTTTGTTTTCTCATCCTCAGAAGCTTTTATGTACTTGGTCTGCCACACTTTTACCTTCAGTCCTCATTTGGAAACAAGTTCACGACCATCCCAGCTATTACGGATTAAGATATCTGCTGCTTCTTTGGTTTGAGTTAGTTTTCAGAAACCTTTGACTAATGCAGACTTTCTTTTTTTTTAGGATTTTTACTGTGTATGTAATTTAATGTTTTGATATGAAAAGTTGGGTGATTTTTTAGCTAATTTAGAGTCATATCAGATGTGATTATGTGTGAAACTATATTGTCTTGTAGCTTCCAGTGTTTGCGAAAACACATCAGACATTACAGGCGTGTTCTGAAATTGTCTGACGAAAAGCTTTAAATCTTCTGACAATATGGCCGACGTGACTCTTTTCTTAACTTGCCAGAAAAAAAAGAATCTTCCTGAAAACCACAAATTGCAGACTCTTTGTTGATAATTTGGTCTGATTCCATGACACAGACATTTTTTTCAATAATCCATCAGAGATTGTCTCTGGTCTCTGCAGCAGCTGCCTGCAGGAGCGCACGGCACACCGGAAGCTTGTATTATAAAAGCGGGGTCATTTCTTATTATTGTGATATTTGTGCTGAACTGAAACGCCAGACAGAATGACATTTTGTCCTTAACAGGCTTTTATTATAGTAATTTAACAAACAACTGAGATAAACCCACACCTCCAACTTTCAGTTTCAGTCACCTTGTCACTTAAAGGAACATTAACATTAGGCTACAACACCCTTATGAACCATTACAACATTTAGAAATATTCTGATCTTTCATAATAATTCCTAATAAAATCCAATAATTTTCTAATTAATTCTGTTTATTTTCTAAGCAGAGGGACTTTCTAATCCTCATTTTCTGAATTTTGCGGAAAATCACATAGATGGTTCTTTATTATATAAATGTATAATATGTAAAGGTCAGAGGTCACTACATAACCCAGTTATTATTTTTTCCTCGTGTCCTGTCTGGCTGTGAAGCAAACAGAATTAATGTCTGAATGCTGGTGACAATCCTTACAGATTTACTCTCAGGTGGAGCATCAAAGCTTCTGCTTTAATGTCACGCCTGATACTTAAAACTTTATTCTTATTGTTTTTTGAATGCTTGTAATTCCGACCAGACACTGAGACAGAGGTGAAGAGAAAGGAAGAGACAAAAGGAAGGGGGGAGGGGGTTCCACAAAAATAAACAATCAATGATGAACAAGAGTCTACTTCTAGACATGCAGAAGGAGAAAAAAGAAAAGGGACACATAACAGTAGAACAGGAGCAAGCTATCACTGCGTCAACCTGATGAGGAAATGTATAATCAACATTGTTTAACTGAACAATCACGATAATAACTCACAGTGCATTTAGTGCCAACCACAGCCTTAAGCCATGTGTTGAACGTGCCCAAGTCCATTCTTATGAGAGCACCATGTGAGCACCTGTGTGTGTACCCGCGCTTGTATATGTAAGGTTTCTCTATAGGAGCGTCCAATAGAGAGTGTGAGGGCTACAGATCTGCCCCCCAAAGTTGTGTAGGAGATGGAGGTAGCTCCAAGTCCCAGAGATCCAGGAGCTGCCCCAGAGCACAGGGACCCCAGGGAGACTGTAACCAGAAAAGCCCCTGCCCCCCTCAAGAGGCGCAGAGGATCGCCCCGGGGGGCCACAACCAGCAGCCGCCAGAGTCCCGGGGGATATCAGCAGCAAGCTCACAGGCCCGTCTGCAGCATCCCACCCCCAAGCCGGCCGAGCCCGGAACCCAGCAACTCGGGACCCAGGGCCGACTACCCCCGCCGGGGACCCAACAGAACCCAGGGACTCAGACCCCACCAGGCAGCCACCGAGATCAATCAGGCAGACGCCAAAAATCTTAAAACCCCTGACCCGAGAGCCGCAAACCCAATTTTGAGTAGTTATAAATCTGAAGCCTGCAAGGACATTGTCCTATGTAGTGTGAGGCAGAGCCAGCTAGCTCAGAGGGTTTTGTAAACAGAGTTTGTGAATATTCTTTTTGAACAAGTTCTTTTTGTTAAGATTTGACACTAACATTCAATACGAATATAGAACAATCATGATTAACTATATCCACCACCTCTACTACATTGAGTCAAACTTATTTATTTATTCTTTATTTAACCAGGAAGGTCCCACTGAAGTTAAAAACCTAATTTTCAAGGGAGTCCTGGCCTAAAGGCAGCAAGGGTTCTTAGTCTGGTTTTAAATGTAGTCAGGGAGATAAACTCGTTTAATTTCCAGTTTTCCTGCAGCCTGTTGCATGCAGAAGGAGCAGAGTGAACGAAGGCCTTAAAGGGAGACTAGGCAGTTGTGGCTTGCTTTTAGCACCCCCTAATGTCCGTTTGTAGACCCGAAAGCAAAACTTAACTCCTCACTGTGCGTTCGTCTTTTAACACCTTACTCTAACAGCTGAAATGTTTCCCCAGTCTTTAGTGTCTACAATGGTTCATCACCAAATTAAACGGATCAGCTGTGTTTATCATCCTTTATTTGTATAGCACCTTACAGGTATGAGGCATGCAAGTAAAGATAAAATAAAGTCATGTAAAAGATCAGCGACATCTAACCCACAGAGTTAAAAGCCAAACCATAAAAATGGGTTTTCAGCCTCAGTTTAAGACCCACCACTGATGAGGAGAGCCTAACAGATAAGGGAAGAGCGTTCCACAGCTTCGGTCCTGCCACAGAGAACGTTTTATCCCCTCTTGTCCTCAACTGAGCTCTAGGAGCCACAAGCAGCAACTGGCTCTCAGAGCGGGACACTTGAGCTGGGACAAACGGCTGCAACAACATTGATCAGAGGCTCAAAAGTCATATTTAGGTCTGTGAACACATCGTTGACTAGCAGCAATAAAGATAATAGAAATTTCCATAAACTCACACTAGCAATAGCAGATCTTCTTTGTCAAAATGTTTTCTCCCAGAATCATGAATTATAAAATTTATTTAGGAAAATAAATATTAACATATTTTATTAGTTATGTTTCTTTGACATAAATCAAAAGCAGCATGCCAGAGCTTAACAAGTTTTAGAAATTGGTATTGAGTCTTAAAACCTGAATCATTTAATCTCAATTCATGTTATTTTGGATAATCTGAGCTGATGAAATATTCTTCCCTCCTGATCTTTTGTGGCCTAGGTCCTCGTGCTGTTGGACGTCACCCCGGACCAGTCCATGTTGGATGAGGGTGTTGCCAGAGAGGTCATCAACCGCATTCAAAAACTACGTAAGAAGGTGGGACCATTTTTTAGGACTGACAAACATCACAAACTGTTACTGAATTCAGCAACCCAGTGTTGATTATCTAGCTCACTATGTTACATTAATCAGCTAGCACATTCCATTCTGTTACTATGATGTGTCTTTCCTGCGTCCTGAAGAGGTTTTACTTGTTTTCGTGTTATTTCTACAGCCAATCCTAAAGCTTCAACTTGAAACCCTTAAGATACAAAATAATGTTCCACTCTTGTTTTGGTTTCTACCTTCTTTTACTCCCTCCCTTCCTTATTATGTCTTATTCTATTGTCAGGGCGGTTTTGAAATCTTTCCACTACAGCGTCACAGTTAGAGGTTTCTCCATCATAAGGCAGACTTAATAGAAGCTTAATTACAGTCTGGCCCCTTTCAGATTCTGATGTTGGAGCTTTGAAGGAAACTGGGGAGCAAAGACGGATTAGCCAGCAGCCTCTTGTTTTCACAAGAAACAAACTGTTTGTTTCCGTCCCCCTATAGCAGCGCTGTGCTCTGGCGTCCAGCCAGGCTAAATTCCTCCAGTTATTTCAAACTGAGATCTATGACGAATTTTCCACCCCGTGGATGGGAAATGATTTTAAAAAAAAAAAAACTTGTGCACATGTTCAATAGTAGCTTGTCGATTGTGATGCGATAAATCTAAAAACTGGCCAAAGTCCTCCCTCAGCCACTTGAGAAATATTAATTAAACTTTTCTATAGACTAAGAGCTGGACACACACATATACACACACCATCAGAATGAGGACCTTGACTCGTAGAAGCCTATAAAACTTTCCTCCATTGATTGACTGCTCTTTTATATCTAGCTTTTCCCATTCTTCTGCCCTTGAGGTGTGTGTGCACTGCAGAGGGAGTGTGTGTATGGCCATGCACAGATGTGCACAGCTGCACACTGTAGATTAGAATGAGATCAATGGGTTTGGATGCAGCAAGGTTAGTGGGAGCAAGCAGCAAGCGATGCCAAAATAGATGGGCTTTGTTCCAGCTAAACATCCCATCATCCTCTTCTGTCTTTATTTGTTACTATACTGTCTGTTTTCTGCGTTTTATTACCAAAATGCCTTTTCTGGTTAGTCTTTCCAGTAGTTTTTTTTTTTTACCCTTGTCTTTTCTTCTTTTTGGGAGCTGTACTCCCTTTTTCTATTACTAATGAAAACAATGGTCAAAAAGCAACTTGTTGCTAAAAAGTGATTTGTTGCATCTTCTGGAGTTTGATACCATGGCTTGAAATATTAGTTATGCAGCATTTTGTTGTACCGTTACTTTGTCTCACAGCATCACAGGAATGAACAGAATCTTTTTAGTTTTCTTTCTTTATTTTCGTGCATAAAAAATATCTTTTTGATTATCAGGGACATTTGGTGCCGTCTGATGAAATAACCGTGTACTACCGCTGCCGACCAGAGGGGGAATACTTGGCATCTGTGATCCAGGCTCACACCGACTTTATTCTGGCCACCACCAAGGCTCCACTTCTGCTCTTCCCTGTTCCCGATACTGCCAGCGTCATCATAGAGGAAACGACTCCGGTATGAGACGATGCCTTCAGGAAAAGTGGGATTTGTTTGTCATGGTGTGATTCATACTCACGAACATGCAGGCTGTTGTTTCTTCATGAAACATGCTGATGCCGATCAATGTATGAAATCACAAGTATGAGTCACACTTAACACATGATTACTCTCATATTGGTATTAATACCTTGCATCTATAAATGTAGTACTCGTCACCTCATTCCTTCTTTTCAGACTATGTTTTTATTCATTTGAGCTTTTGTTTGGTTGTATTTGTAGTTGAAGGGCTCAGACTTGGAGTTGACCATAGTAAAAGGATCTTCATCTCCTCGAGCAATACTAAACGGACCAGCCTGCACATATGTCAACCTCAGAGTGAAGGTCAACCACAAAGAACAAGGTAACACAAAGTCTTACTGTAACCATGTTTTGGTTGTCTGTGACTGCACACACACATAGCACAAATTTGGTGCTATGCAAGCAAAATATGTATCTTTGATGATCCTGTTTGTATTTGTGTGTATTTTCTCCTCAGAGGGTGTTGTGCTGTTGGAGAACCCCAGAGGGGATAACAGACTTGACTGGAACAAACTGAAGAATGCCTGCAGGAACATTTTTGGAACCAACAACACCTCACTGAGATTCTTCAGTGGTGGAACCGGTATGTGATGTTTTCTAAAACAATAAATTGTGTGTGCTAATTATCTCCCACCATGGCATGTTAAAACTGACCAGTATTATAAATGAACAAAAACGGAATTTTGTTTTCTTCTATTTTTCTAAAAACTATTTGCTCACATGTTCTTTTGTGTGTTTTTTACAGAATTGTCCAACGAAACTGATCTGCAAGCCCTGAGTGGCAAAACTTTGTTGGTGGTGTCAGACCCCTCCTCTCTGGGCTCTGCCCCCCCTGCTGCTGACACCCTACTGTGTCCCTATGTTAACCTGTTGCTGTGCGATGCACAGCCAGCTGGTGAGAAACACCTACAACACACACACACACACACACACACACACACACACACACACACACACACACACACACACACACACACACACACACACACACACCCACCCACCCACACCCACCCACACCCACCCACCCACACACACCCACACACACCCACACACCCACACACCCACACACCCACACACACACACACACACACACCCACACACCCACACACACACACACACACACACACACACACACACACACACACACCCACACACACCCACCCACCCACACCCACCCACACCCACCCACCCACACACACCCACACACACCCACACACCCACACACACACACCCACACACACACACACACACACGCACGCACGCACGCACGCACGCGCACGCACGCACACACACACACACAGTATGACTTAAGAGGCATTCATTCCTACTAAAGACCACTGCAGAAGTATTGAAAATATGAGTAAAGTTGACCTTTAAGTTTAGGATTAGTAAAATTCTTCATTCAGATCAAATCCTATTTTGGAAATTTCTAATATCCTGTGTTTTCTTCAGAGTGCCAGGCTGGAGATGTTGGTACCCTCCTGTTGGTGAACCCGATGGGTCAGAATGCGCTTGATTACTCTGGTCTGCTCTCTGAGACAGCTAAAGTTTTCGGCCTTCGCAGTAGGCGGCTTAAACTCTACCTAGACCAGGACCAAAGTCATGGTAACACATTTTAACTAAAATAAGTGGGTTATTATCTCTGAACTCTAATGGATGGCATGAAATAATTAAAGGTGCAGTATGTAAGGATATAGTGAAAATTTTACAGTGACAAAATCTAATGTTTCAATCTTTTGGAAGGAAGGTTATACTGAAACATTTTTCATTTCCAGCTGGCTGCGGGGATTGTCAGTTTTTCTTCTTTCCAAACAAAGAAATGGATGTAACTACTGTTTACCATCAGTGAGTGTGGAGTTGCCATGTCTCCCGCGGGCTAATGCTGCAGCGGCGACAATTGTAATTTGACAACGGCCGACAAAAGGCTCCATAGTTTTTTAAAGTGGTTGCAGTAACCACATTTTACCACAGGGTGTAATGTTTACTTAGTTTCTACATAATGCACCTTTAATTATTTTAATTTAAAAGTTCTTAGTTAAAAGAAGACTATTTTAATCCTAAAAAGTGTAAATATTTACATTATTTTTTCTTCCAGAACTGCCAGCTGATTCATCAGTAAAAGCTCTTAACAGCAAAACTCTCTTTGTGAGAGTTCTTCCAACCACCGCCGAAGCTTAAACCTGTTTGTCTCAGACTCAAGCCCCCAGTAAAGGCCTATCAACACCCCAAAGCTCCTGGGATTTACCATGAAGTTAAAACAACATAAAGTCACATTATTTTTTGGGTTGGGTCATCTTTTAGAAATCCTGCTGCAAATCAGAACCAAGAGCTCTGCTGTTGAAGACTATGTTCATGTGTCAAGGTGTTTTGAACTTATTGGTGTTAAAACAATCCAGTACATGGTTTAATTTATTTTATTAGCACTTAGGTAGCCAATTATCTTTCTCCATGGTCATATTCTTTAACTCCTGCATTCATTTATCAGCTGTATTAGGTGAATTTCAGACAAAACAAGAAGATATGTTGGTAAAATTGTTCTTTGTCATTGGACAAATGTTAAAAAATGGCATTTGCTGGTAAAAAACAGAATTTTTTTGGTCAGAGTACACACATGCAACATTTCTGACGAACAGAAAAATGAAAAAGATTAATTTGTTACACATTGTAGAGCTTTTTCTTTCTATGTAGAAAAGATTCCAGGAAACTAACTCGATGAACTGTCACAGTTACCAATGGCTGCTTCTCTTTATTATGATAATGATGCAGGTTACTTTCTTTCGTGACTTATTTGCAGTGTGCTCCACCCTTAGTAATTATGCTTTGGCACATAATTGCACAAGGAATTTGGGCCATTGTGCTTCTACATTATTGTGACTCTAACAGATAAGCCTATTGTGTTTTAATATTATTATTATTTTTTTTCCCCTGGGAGTTCTTATTAAACAGAAAAGGCATTTAAAAGGTGAAATGGATTTTTGGGCTGTTGTGCTTTTAAGACATAAAGGATTCTGTCATAAAGAGCAACAAATGTAATATTTTAAGTGACAAGCAGAATAAATCAAAGGTGACTAAGAAACTGCATGTTCTTTTCTTTCTGTTCACTCAGCCCTTTACTTAGCAGAGGGACACACAATGTGTATGACTTCACTGCAGTTAAAAAAAATGTGCCTGGCTTTATTATTAAGGTTGAGACGTTTTGACCCGCTGTGTTTCAGCTTCCCAGCAAGGTCAGAGAACAAATGCAGCCAAATGGATTGTAGATGCTCACAGTGATCCAGTGGAATACAACATAACATTTAGCATTTGGTTCTTGCATTGATTTGGATGAGGACGATTGTGTTTATACATTAATAATAAAGCCAAAACAAGAGAAACTAAAGGTAAGAAAATCTACCAACAAGCTCATTTAAAGCTTGTGTTAAAGGTGCAATGTGTAAGAATAAAGTAAGATCCTGCAATCAGATTTGGTTACTGTAATCACCTCTCCTATTTTGTGACATTCATGGCCAAGGCTGGATTAACCAAATGGGCAACTGGGCAATTGCCCAGGGGTCCACGAACTCTAAAGTGCCCAGGCCCATGGCAGCAAGGGCACGAGCAAAATACTGTATCTGTAATTTCCTGCTTTATGTGACCATGCGTCCTCTTTTCCCTGGACATGTCCACTTTTCACTCTCTGTCCGGGGGGTTCTTGTATTGATGAAAATGTCCGGTTTTTCATCCAGGAGCAGGGATCGAATTATGGGGGAGCTGGATATCCTACACATCCAGGGAGAGCCGGAAAAAATGTTTCTACCTATATTACATCATTTATAGACTCTCAGCGTACCGGGTATTCTTTTGAGTGGAGAGCACAGAGAGCGGAACAGCGCTGATCGTTGGCGAGCTCCAGGCAGCTGCGTCCAGCGCGCGGTCCATTCAAAGTGGTGCAACCAAAAATATATAATTACATACGATCATTCATGTCCGCACATGTTCTTTACTTTCTGCCTTATTTGTGCCTGAAGCGCTGTGCTACTGCGGAGCTCATCTCCTGTGCTGCGGTGATTTCACCTCACTGATGCAGCATCGAAACACGCACTCCGCTTTGCGGTCAGGAGATCCCTTTGATCTGCTCAAAAGTAACTGATGAGGTGAAAAAGTAAGAATCCAGGCAGCAGTTTTTCTGGAGAGTTTAGAGGAGATGCAGGAAGATGAGAGACAGGACAGGAAAATAGTTTAATAAAAACAAGAAAACAAAACAAAGTGTTGAAAAGTAAAATGTAGGTAGTTTAATAAAACCTTGTTGCAGCACTAAAGCAGCAAAATTAGATTTTGCAATAAATATGCAAAATATTTAAATGAATTGTTTTAGAGCCCTTTTATTGGCAAAATCTGATATTAATTTTAGTTCTTACAAAAAAATGGGTCCCAACGTGGTTTGTGTGGCTTAGCCATAGTGTGACGTCACAGGCACAGATCCCCTGTCCTCTTTTTTGGAAATGGAAATATGATCACCCTATATTCAACAAACTGTCCACCTGGGCTTTTGCGCTGCACAGAGACGCTTCGCTGCCTATGACTATGAACGTCGGTTGAGAGTCAGTCTCATGCAGACTGACCAATGAAGAGAGGGCCTCAAGTTAAGACCCTCACCTCATTGGTCAGTCCACACAAGGTGGGTCAAAGGTTACCCTGAGTGGGTTACGTGACATCAGGCATTGAGTATATTTACTGCATATTACAGTAAAATATTCTGTATGTGACCATATTATGGTGATCCTTGGGTCTTGATGATGGGGCCCTTGAATATTGTTGCCCAGGGTACAACAAAGTGTTAATCTGGCCCTGTTCATGGCTATTGCCAGTTACAGATTGGCACCAGAAGATTCAAGAAAACAAGCAAAGACGAGCCATACACAGTAAGTAGATAAGTAGATAAATGCATTGTCATAGCTGATAGCACTTTAGGGTGTTTTTCAGTAGGGAGCACTTAATACACTTATTACAGTAATATGTCTCCAGCATAGGAAGCCTAAGTCACACCCATCTTCCAGACCTTGAGTCCCCAGAAGATCGAAAAAATGAATGCAAGTCAATAGGGCTAAGAACTCTTATTTTCTAATCCCTTTCGTCATGTGCCATAGATTTCACTTAAGATGTTGTGAGTTTTAAGATGCATTTTGATGCCAACAACGTGCTTATTTTCAAAGGGGGCAAATACATCCAGAACCAATGTGCTTCACAAAATTGACGTTGAATCAAACAGAGAAAAGCTGGGGAAAAGTGGCTGTAAGTTAATCGAACTTCAAATTCTTCCTTCAGGAGAAAAGAACCACCATAAATCTGGCCATTTGTTAAGTCGTAGCTGCGCTGGGGGGAGGGCATTCAGTGGTGATGCGACATGCCGTCGTCTGATGCTAATTACAAACTTTTACAAGCTGATAAATCTAATTACGTGACTAGCATGGTCAAAACACACACATTACTTTTCATTTGAATTGAAGTACAACATATGTGCAATCCAGAGTATGAGACAAAGTGGTTTAGAAAATAGCTCTTTTAGTCTCGTTAATATGCATTCATTTTTTCATTCTTCCGGGGACCCGTGAGCCAACCGGAAAGGTAGGAGACTGGCTCTCTATAGAGGAAGTGTTTTTACTGTCTGGCTGGTGGCTTTCTTTTATTCACAGACATCATTCGTATACACTTTGTGGACTAATGCTGCCATAGTAGTGGGCCGCCATATTTGATGGGTCCCTCATCACCCCTACAGCACTTATTTCTGAGGAAGGTGTTTATACAACAAAAAAAATACATTTTATAATGCTTCTTCACAAATCAGAAAATGGACATAGTTGCCCACTCTGCACTGACTCTAGTTTAGAGAGTGAGGAACCCACCCAGTATGGCGGCAATGCTGTTACACCCTCCAGTGCCCAATGGGGTGTCTACATATTCTTGTCTATGGTTAGTTCTGAAGGACTCATTTAGTTTCGTTTGACTTATTCACTTCAGTATCAGAAGGGGCTTTTTGCCATACATGCAAGTCACAACAATAGGACATTGCTGCAGTACTTGGTGTAAGAAAAAAAAGATAAACTAAATTAGAATTAAGAAATAAACAATGAAATTTTAATAATATAGGGAATCAATAATTAGAGAAGCAGCTATACAAGTCAGTGTAGGTACTGGTCAGAACGGGTCAGTTCAGGTGCAACCACAACACAGGGTAACGTGACCGAAACAAAGCAGCTGGAGTGGGCAGGTCCGCGATTGTCATTCACAAGTCTGACCGCAGAGGGGAAGAAATAGTTTTTGTGGTGAGAGGTTCTGGTCTGAATGGATCAAAGCCTCCTGCCAGATGGGAGCGAGTTGAACAGACTGCCCAGGGTGAGATGGGTCTGCTGTGATCCGACCTGCACGCCTCGATGTCCTGGAGGTGTACAGGTCATGTATAGAGGTGAGTTTGCAGCCAATGGCTTATCAGCACAATGCACGACACGCTGCTATCTTTTCATGTCCCTGGTGGTAGCTCCAGCATACCACACGATAACTGAAGAGGTGAGGATGGACTCCATGATTGCGGTGTTGCCTCATTGACTGTACTGATAGGTTGCATTTCTACAGCTGCCACACACACACACACACATCTCACGGTTGTTGGTAATTTAAAAAGTAGCTTGAGATATTTTAGAGCTGAGTATTTGCTTCTATTTCACCGTTAGCATTGTTAGCTCAGCGTAAGCCTCTAGATCAGGGGTGTCAAATGTGTGGCCCGCGGGCCGGATCAGGCCCGCACATAGTTTAAATCCGGCCCGCGAGATGATTGTGTAAACCTTATTTTCAGACTTTACAATGTAAAGTCTGAAAATAAGCTTTCATTTTTCAGTTCAACTGCTGGTGAAAGCTAAGAGATGTCAGGTATCAGGAGTCAAAGACATGCATGACACTGATATAGCCATGTGATCTGTGAATCAGTTATTTGAATTACTGAGGAATAGTCTGGGCTTTTTGTTTTGTATTTCACATTTTCAAATACACTTCAGGTGTTTTATTATTAATAGTGAAGTTGTGCTTAAACTATTTTGGATACACTGTCCTCAGGCTCCAGCTTTGGTTTATGTTGACCGTATTAAAACAAAGAAAACAATCTGAAGCAGTTTTTAATTTATACATACTTTAATTTTACGGGCCTGGCCCACTTGGGACTAGATTTTCCTCAATGTGGCCCCTGAGCAAAACTGAGTTTGACACCCCTGCTCTAGATGCTGTGGCTTCTTAGGGGTACAAGAAATAACCTTTTGGTCGCTCTTGTTGCTGGCTTTGATTATTTAAACAACTCTGGAGCTTTTGCCGGCCTTTGCCGAATCACAAATGCTGGTGCAGCAGCGTTGGCTCACAGGCGACACGGCAACCTCACGCTCCCTGATGGTTTACCTTCATCCTTCCTTCTTTTATTTTGAAATGTTAAAATATTTCCAACCCTGCAGCCGTTAAGGGATAAGTAGTCAAGCAATATATTATACTGTATATTAGTTGCTAATTGTATCATATTAATGTTGTCTACTACTTAACTTTTCAAAGGACCTTTAGGTAAATAAATATATTCATGAAATGTGATAATAGAAAAAGGAGAGTAGTGTTTCTAAATGGTAGATTAACACTGTATGCAATTTGGGAATGGGTGGAGATTTTTTTTACACATACCAAACAAAAGGTTTGACAAACCAATCCAACTGGGTCCCATTTAACATTTTACCATATTGAATATTTAGTCTTATTGAATTTCTTCATCTCATTGTTTGTATAAACGGTTTGTTTTCCTGAAATGTCAAACTGCTCCACGAGGGAAATATGTACAGTACAACCAGATCGCTCGTTGCTGTAAGATGGTAAGGCTTTTAAACAGATTTTTTACACTGTACTGTATTTTTTTCCCATCTCAGCAAACTAACAATATTAGTCTGGTTTAGCTCAGTTCAGTCATTTAGACCAATTTTTAAAAAGATTCTAAAAAAAAATCTAAGGTTATACTTAAGAACGTTTTAATGTTACTTTCTCATTGAAGCATCACTGTGTGTGCTTTTCATCATC